CAGTAGTTTCACTTCTAGGAATTTATCCCAAGAAAATACCTGGCAAGTAGCCATTTACCATGAATAAGGATGTTCATTGTGAAGCTTTTATAAGAGTGAAAAATTGGAAACAGCACAAATGTCCAATGATAGATTTATTGAATAAATTATGATATGGCAAAAAAAATAATACTATATAGCAATTTGAAGTGATGATGTAAATGCTTAAATATTAATACGGAACACTGTGCATGAAATATTAAGTATATTATCTCATTTTAATAAAGTGTATAGCATGTATAGGCATAGAAAAAGAAAGAAAAATTAACAGTTGATAACTCTGAGAGGTAGGCTTATAGGTGATTTTATTTCATTATGTTTTTCTATGCATTTTACTATAGGCATATATTCAATTTTTAAAATTAAGTTATTTAAAATAGTTAAAAAATAAAATATTAATAAGGGTTTATAATAGAAATCCGTTATTTTCTCCATATTTCAGAGAAATATGCTTGCATTACTATTTTCTAATTTATTAATTTTAGGTATTATCTAACTATTATGGTAGATGAGGATTTACCTCTTAAACCACTACACTGGCTTCCCTTTACCACATCTTTTCAACATCATTATATCACTGTTTTTGACTATTTACATTTTCCAGAATTTACATTATTATAACAAGGTAAATATTGTTCATTGCTGAGCCAAATAGTGAGCTATAATTTTGTTTCCTTTTTTGTACAACTTTTTGTTTTTCTTGGATTTCATAATTCTCTATTTTTGATTTGCTTAGCTTTCCTTGTACTTGTTGCTAATTCTTCTCACACTCTCCAACAGCTTTGCAGTGAAATTTTCTGCACAAACACATCAGATAACCTATCCATTCTTACTTCTTTTTCCTAAATCCTCTGTCTTTATGCACCAGTCTGAACAGGTTTCTCTCTAGGTCTTATATACAGGTGTTACCGTAGTAAATTCCTTCAGTCATCCTGGGTGTTCCCTTTGCCTCTTGTCTGTATTTCATCCTCAATTCCCTAAATCCCATTTCTACTTTATTTACTTTGTTGTTTTGCTGGAGCACATCCGCTTAACATCCTGAGAAAGGGTATGTGAGAGGTTAATTTTTGAGACCTGAACATTTGAAAATGTCTTTACTACTTGATTGACAGTTTGGCTGGGTATAGAATTCGAGGTTGAAAACTATTTTTCTTCAGAAATTTGAAGACATGGCTTTAATGTCTTCAAGCTTCCATTGTTGTCATTAAGAAATCTAAAGTCATATTTGTTCTCAGTTGTTTTGTATGATATATTTTTTTCTCTGTAAGTTTTGAAGATATACTCTGTTTCTAGTTTCTGAAATTTTGGTGTGTTTTTTTATGTGGGTCCTTTGTCATTTATTGTGGTAGGCAATTAGTAGATGTTCTTATTCTGGAAACTTAGAGGTTTTTCAGGGAAATTTATTTTGAATTATTTAACAATTTCCTTACTCCTTTTCTCATACTCTCTCTTTCTATAATGCATACTGGATGAGTATTGGACCTCCAGGATTGATAGTATACATTTTGAATCTTTTCTGTTTTCCCTGTCTTTGGCTTTTGATTACTCTTTCTTTCAATATTTCATTGACTACATTTCTCAACTTTTTAATTGAATTTTTTCCAGCCATCTTATTTTTAATTTCCAAGTGTTCATTCTTGTTTTCTGATTGTTCTTTTTCAAAGAAGTTCCTCTTTTTGTTTCATGGATTTAATATTTTATCTTTTTGAGGGTCTAAATTATAGATTAAATTTTTTCTTCTGTTTTCTGCGTTGTCTCTGCTTCTTCTGAGTTCTGTTTATTTTCATCTGTTTTTCATAATGCATGCTTCTCCTCAAATATCTATTCATATCGATTATGGATGAACCACTGCAGTTTCATGGCCACACTAAAAACAAATGACTGGAAGCTTTGTATGATGGGTGGGGCTCATTGACTAATAGAATTCAATGCAGGGCGATCTGGCAGCTAGTTGCTAGAAGTACCAATATCTGAAGGTCTTTTTTCTGGTGCTGTTCAATTCTCCAGAAAAGAATTCTCTGGTCTCTTACTTCGGATATACGGTCCTAGCTGACAGTATCCTGGGAACTAGGCAAAGGAAGCAACTGGAGGTCTTATCATTCAGAATGAAGAGTTTTATTTAATCATTCTATTTTCATTCCTGTACCCTCTATTGTGCCAGGTCTTCTCAAGTCTGAAGCCTCTTGATTGATTTCTCCAAAAAATAAGCCCCTAGTCTCCAGTAGAGTGAGGAAGGTATGGTTGCCTAGGTGTGCAAGTAGAATGGGATGGTGCCTGTGAACAATTGCTGCTTATAGAGATCTGTTTCTATATTTTCAGCCCTGTGTCTCATCCCTGCTTTCTCCCATACCTGCTGCCTCTAATTCCTGAGCCATCTTAGGGCAAATCAGCTCATTTTTTTAATCAGAATCCACTTCTGAAAGCACATAGGTTTCTGTTTCTGTTGCTCTGCTGTTACCTCTTCTTCAAACAATTATTCTCTTCCAAACATTGTCAACATCTCTCATCTATTGTCTTCCCTGTTGTTCTCTTTATTCTATGGGTTCACCCCCTTTTTAATCCTTTATTATAATTTGTTTTAGGAAAGAGAAGAGATTAAGACATTGTTTCAATTTACTATATTTAACCAGAAATGTATTCTCTCTTACTTTTATAATTTAGAAAAAGTGAGATGCCTAGAACTGAAGATAGTATTCAGGTCAGGTGTCCCCATTGTAGAAAAAGCTAAACTGACACATCCCTTGATCTAAATGAAATTTATTTTTGGTTGCAGACTTTTTTTTTGGTCCATTAATTTGTATTTGGCTGCCATTTGACTGAAAAGTGTGTCTCCAGGCTTTTAAAGTGATGAGTTAGGTGTTCTGCTTTCATTTTTATATGCCCTGGTTAGTGCACTCCTGGTATAGATCCCACAATTACTCTGTTGATTGTTGATAGGTTCTATTTGCTGATATTTTATTTAGGATATTTACTTTGACATTCACAAGAGAGCTTGTATTTTTACTTTATTGTACTGTTTTTAACAGAGTTGGTATCAATATTATACTGGCTGCTTAAAAAGAATTTGGTAGCTTTCCTTCTTTATGCTCCAGAACAGCTAAAATAGCATTTGGGGAAAAGTAAACTAAGCTAGTAAAAAGCATCATGGTATCCTGGATTGGATCCTGGGACAGAAAAGGAACATTAGTGGAAAAACTGGTAAAATTGGAATAAAGTCTATAGTTTAGTTAATATTATTGGACCAATGTTAATTTCTTAGTTTTGACAAAGGTACAATGATTATGTAAGATGTTAACATTCAGGAAAGCTTAATGAAGTAGATATGGGAAGTGTATATGCAGAGATATATATTATCTCTGCAACCTTTTATACATTTAAAATTATTCCAAAATAGGGCTGGCTGAGTGGCTCATTGGTTAAGAGTTGGCTTGCAAGCGCCAGCTCTGAGCAGCAGGGCCCCAGTTCGGATCCCACATGAGGGCCAGTGACACTGTGCCCTCTACAGCTAAGATGGTGAACAACAGCTTGACCTGGAGCTGGGCTGCTGTGAGTCGCTGGCGAAGGCGTAGGCTGCAGTGGGGCTGCAATGGGGTTGCAGTGGGCCTGCAGTGGGCTGCCATAAGTCACTGTAAGTGGCCGTCCAATGGCCAGTGACTGATCTGCCTCACCCAGGAAGAGTGCAATGATCACAATACCAACATGGGCCAGTGAGGCGACGTCCTCCACAACTAGGCTGAAGAAAAAAAGGACAACAACTTGTCTGTTCCCCTTCCCCGATTCCCCAACATTGTTCCCTCCCCCCAATTCCCCAATAAAATCTTTAAAATAAATAAATAAATAAATGAAATTATTCCAAAATAAAAAGTTTAAAACAAAAAAAATTATCAGAGTGAGGTACACCTTATAGATTTGTAAGAATTTACCTTTGACCCTGTCTGTGTCTGGGATTTTTTTGTGGGGGGAGGGTAGCTCTTTAACAACGTTCTCTTCTATGGTAATCGTCTTTTTAAAGTTTGTATCTCTTTTAGGATCATCTTATATTATTTTATATTTTCTTGAAAGCCATCCATATCTTCAAGGTTTTGAAATGTATTTGTGTAGTGTTAAGCAACATAGTCTCTTATAATTCTTTTTTTATATTTTCTCTGTGTCCATGGTTATTTCCCAATATCATATCTTATTTTGTGTGGTTATTTATTGGGTTTTTGAAATTAATTTGATGATTTGAGACCAGGATTTTAAAAAGTGAAATAGGCTAGGATAGATGAAAAAAATGTGTGTGTTTACTAAATTTGAATCTCAAGCATATATATATATATTTTTTGTGTGTGTGTGTGTGTGTGTGTGTGTGGTAACCTGACAATATCTACCAAAGCACAATGCATATAACTTTTGACCTTGCAATTTAATATTTGGGAACTTATCCAGATATATCATTGCATACCTGCAGAATTGATACATGTACAGCATAATTCCTTACAGTATTATTTAGAATAGCGAAAGATTGGCAATAACCCAAACATCTATTAAGAGAGGACTGCTTTTTAAATTACAGTACATTCATACAATGTAATACTCAGTAGTTGTCAGGAAGAATGAAGATGCATTCTATGTATTGATGTGGAAAGATAGCATGGATATACTGTATTCTAAGGAGAAGAAAGCATGGCGTAGAACAATGTTTATGGTATACTGTCCTTTGTGTTAAAAGAGGACATATAAAATCTATATTTGTATTTGCTTAAATAGGCCTAAAGAAACTCAGGAAAAACAAATAGAGAAGGAGAGCAGTGATGGGAATTGGGTAGATGGGGGCAGGTAAGGATAGAGGGAGACCTTTCATTATGTACGTTTATTATTGTTGTTGTTGCTATTGTTGTAAGAACACATTTAACATGAGATCTAAACTCCTAATGAATTTTTAAGTGCACAGTACAGTAACCGTATATCCTGTTTTACAGTCTAGGATTTGAATTATACAAATGAGTTACTTATTCAAAAATGAAATAGAAAACATTGAGCAAAAGAAGCAGCACTCAGGAGAAGAGGCATGTGCATGCGGTTCCTGATGCAGGCAGAACTGAGCTGCGCTGTCCAGGGGGCAGGGGCAGTGTCAGTAAGGCATGTATGTCTCTTACAGTGGGTCACAGTCACAGTCTGAGAAAACTTTGCTATTTAATTCCCTAATCCTTATGTTTTACTGTTTAAGATATAAAGCTAGTCTGTTTACCACAAGACTGTAGGCTCCTTAGGGCAGAGGGCTGTTCAAGTTGTTCACTCAGTGGACACTGAACACCTGTTTATGTTCATTTCAGATAGAAGGAGGGCCCTAGTTATTTGATTAGCATGTCTTAAGATGGGCAAATACAGGAAGCATCATAGTGACTTGTCAGAATCATCTCTTCAAAATATGTTGGCTAGCTTCTTAAGAAAACTCTTCTTCCTTTTAGATAAATGGAAGAGCTAGAGACCAATTTATTCCAGACACGGAAAGCACACAGAATAGAACAAATGGTGGCAAGATGGCTTCGGCGCTCCCGGGACAGCTCGGCCCGGTAAGGTTCCTGGGCTCGCAGAGATTTCTGTTTGTTAAGGTTTGGTGTCCCTGTGGGAGGAGGTTTTGCTAGTCTTGGCAGCGCCTGGGGATCACTGTCTCTGGCTTGCTTTCTTCTTACACCATATGGTGGGAGAAGTGTAAACAGGTCAGCAGTTTTGCCAGGGTGCCTTTCTCTCTGTCCCCCTTTCAACTCTTCCCTCTGTGTCCCTCAAAACATGCATCCACAGACACACTCACCCCAAACTCATCATTTACAGAGACAAACACACACAGACACACTCATACTCACACGTGCATATACACCCTCTGGAACACACACTCATACACACACTCTTGAGCACACACTCACACATGCTTGCTGACTTCCTCTGTCTCTCTCTCTGTCCCACACACACCCCTTGTCTTCGTATCTGATGTTAGGGTCAGGCAATCTGCTGTTTATACTCTTTCCCCCGTCTTTGTTTCTAGCAGCTGTTCCTTCCTTGCAGTCCCTATTTCATTCTAAACAAAATAAAATGAAATCAAATACAGATCTGATTTGACTGCTACAAGAGGACTTAAAATATGTTCTGTTTCGAAGCGTTCATTTTCCGTCTCCGATTTCCCATCTGGCCCTGTCACAGAGATGAAATATCACATGTCAGGTGTTTCTGAGACACACATTCTTCTGAAGGAACTGGAAACAGCTGTTCTGCTGCTGAGCAATAAACCTTGCTCAGGGCTGCACTGCACTGCCCTGCGGCCAAGCGCTTTGATCCTCACACACTGCGATGAGATAAGGCTAAGGGAATCAGCCCCATTTTACAGATGAAACCCCCGAGGCTCAGAGAGTTAGGATCATTGCCAACCCCCCTGCTTAGAAACCTTTGATGGATGTTCATTTCTTACCAGATGAGTTTAAACATTTTGGGTTTGACATTCAAGGCAAGGCGCTCCATGATCAACAAGCCACTGTCCTTACAGCTATTTGTCTTAGTACTCTGTTTCATTCACATCATACCCCAGCTAAAATGACCTACTCATTGTTCCCTTACAATGAGCACCACTGCCTCCCCTTCCAACCCTTAGACCTGGACTCCTGCATCAGATCCCTTCCTCCCACCTCCATGTGTCCAGAACCCACCCACAGTTCAAGGTCTGGCTGAAATGTTGCATCTTCCATGAAGTGAGTCCTAGCCCACAGCTGGAATTAATTTCCCCCACGGAGCCCCCATAGTATTTGCTTTGTAGCATTGGTTGGCGATGTGCTTCTCCTAGTGTGTTCAACTTAATTTGAGCACATCCTTTTTCTTTCTTCTAGACTGTAAGGCCCATGAGGACAGGGAAAGTCTCGGCCTCCTCTTAAAGCCCAGAGGTGATTGAGTTCCAGGAGATTGTAAGCGGTTGAGTAGTGCTTGATGAATGAATGGGGAACCTGCTAGGTACATTGTTTCCTAAAGTGGGTTCTGCAAAACCTAGTGTTATGCTGCGCCACTAAAAATGGTTCCATGGTCAGATCTGTCTGGGAAGTAATGGAGCCTATATCCCACTTGAACCCACCCACCAACCTTGGTGATTCAGAGTGCATCTTAGCACATTAAAGGCTCTGAGAACTCCTGCAGAAAAAAGATGGGTATAACCTTAACTTGATGTTGCCTAAACGTTTGACCTTGGAACTCTCTAATATCCAGATTTTCTTACAGAACGTAAATACAGTGTAACAATGACCTCTAGGAAGTCATATATTTAGTATATTCATAGGATTGTACAACAGTCACCACAATCTAATTTTAGAATTTTTATTTTAGAATTCTAATTTTCAATACCTGAAAAAGAAACCCGGTGCCCACTAACAGCCATTCCCCATTTGCCCCTCGCCTAACCCCAGGCGGCTACGCATCTACTTTCTGTCTCTGTATGGCATTTTAGCATCAGAAGCCCTTGCTGTTGGTTTCTAAATTTACTTGTTCATTACCACCGCAGTGTGTTTACTAATTATAGGAATGGCCTTATTGGACCTTTCTAATATTCCTAATGATGCACAAACACCATTATAGGTACCAATTTTTTATTGTACTTTGACCCATGGGCAAAAGTGGAAAGATTTGAGAACAGGCTGGAAGTCTCCTGTACTGCATGTGCGGAATTGTCATTATCTTCTGAATCTCCTTTTTAAAATAATAATGGGAGCGGCTGGTTAGCTCAGTGGGTTGGAGCGCAGTGCTCGTAACACCAAGGTTGCCGGTTCCATCCCCACGTGGGCCACTGAAGCTGCACCCTCCACAACTAAATCAAAACAGCTACTTGACTTGGAGCTGATGGGTCCTGGAAAAACACACTGTTCCCCAATAATAAATAAATAAATAAATAAAAATAATGGAACAATTTCTCCTTTCAACTGTAGGCCTTCACCCTGTAACTATACTTACAATATATATACATTCAATGGTCCTCTAGAAACTGCCACAGTCACAAGCGTAGTCCTATGATTGTGACTACATGCTAAATTTCCTTCTGTGTAGACTGCTACTTCTATTTCTGCTTTCTCTGAATAAACTTTAGAATAAAAATCCAGCTTCTACCAGACTTTAGTTTCTAAAATCATTCCAGCTGAACATAATACAGTGTTTAAGGAGATTCAAAATAGTTTCTCCACATCCTGCTGGAAATCAAAGGTGAATTCTTTGTCATTACAGGATAGAGGTAAAATATACTGGGATTGCCAAAAAAATGTATACACATGACTTGTATTCATTTTTTGTTATTGGTATATATTGAGTATTACAATTTTAATACAGTTTTTCCTTTCTTAAAATGTGTATACATTTTTTTGGCACCCTCTGTATATTTACCTCTATCAGAGAGCAGATAAAAAGCCAGAGAATATTCGAAGCATAATCTGGTATTTTTCCTTTTCAGTGTTATCGATCAGCTCAATATGATCTTATAACCCAGTAACCCATAAAATATAAAATTAGTCTACACAAGACTATTTTCATGATAAATTTAACATGTTTTTTCTAGTTCTACTTTAAACTAGATCCAGTTATCGAACAGTAATCCCATTAGTGTAACCACAGGTCTTATGCTCTTCCAATGTAAAATCATAGAAACGACCTCAGATTCATGATTTGAAACCATTACAAAGGCAGCAGACATAGGTTTTTGAATTACCAGCACTCTGTTTGGTATTTGTAAGATGCTTCAGTGGAGGAAATTTTGCTACAGGGATCATGTCCTTCAGCAACCCGTCAAATATTGAACATTCTTTGTCAGGAGAGGCCACAGTTTGGGCATGTTCTTAAGCAATCCCTTTCCAAACAAAAACTGAAACGTGGTCTTTGGGGAAAATGTCAAAACGTGGCCTTCGGGCCAAAGCTACTGACACTGTCCACACAGTGGGGCCTCGTTTGTCTGCCATTGTTGAGAAATACACCCTTCCAAATGGAAAAGTCAGATAACTGAAGCCTACCCATTTGAAATGCATCAAACTGGATTCTCTTTTAACCACATAGTAAGGTTTGTTTTTCCTCTTGTTTTCCTAACAGTTATCAAGCCTTACTCTATGTCTAGCATTGAATTCAGCACATGGGGCAAAAAAGACATGGTTTTTGCCATATGAATTATACTCGTAGTCTAGCGAGAACAAGAAACGTCATTACAAAAATTATGTATGTTTCAAAAAGGGATGTACAGTTTCTGCAGGGAGAGCGGGATATTTCTGCAAAACCAGAAGACAGAGTTGGAGCTGGACAGATAAAGTGTATGGCTGGGTGTGTCAGGAAATCTCTAGAGAGTGTGTGTGTTAGGGGTGGAAAGGTGGATTCTAAGCAGAGGGAAGAGCTTGTGCAAAGGACAGTGTATATGAGGATCACAAAGGAGACAAGTTTGGAACCAGCGTAATTTTGACCAATTACCTGCATCTTCCTTTATTGCATCAGCTCATTAAGAATCCTACCACCTAGTACACTTTCAACTAATCTGTTTTTAATGAATTGTCGAATGCTTTTTGTGGCTGTGTTTTGTGTATTTCTCTTGCGACTCTACCAAAGTTACTTTTTTTAGCATTAGCAGTTCTCTTTGTTCATCATTTTCTAGGTATATATCCTCATCTGTTTTTTTTAAAAAGGTGGCGCTTTTCCATTTCTTCTGCTTATTATGCTGCTTATCTTTTTTCCTTCTGTGAAAACTATTACATTTCTCCTACTGCATTAAATAGGAGTAATGTCTAAGGTAACCTTCCTGTTGCTTTTTCAAAGGATGTTGATTTTCGGCTTTCAGTATAGTATTTATTTATTATATTTAGAAAGGCCCTTTTATAGCTTCAATGTTTTTTTTTTTTAATTAGGAATAGCTGTGGGTTTTATTCAGTATAAATTTTCACAGCTTTCTGTTTCTTCCCTCTCATTAGGTCTATCTGCTAACCCATCTCAGTATTACCCATGTGCTTGCCTAGAAGAAATCTTTGCTTCTAAGCGGTATGGGTCAGTCATCTCGTGCAGACAGCCTAAATCTGCTCTAAGCCATGGTCTGAGGAGCTCCTTGAGGGGTAACGTGCAGGAGGCTTTGTACTTGGACTTGTCGTGCCTTTTGGCTCCATGAGGCCATTTTTAATATTTCCTTGTCCTTGTTGAAATGGAGATCATTCTAAATGACAGAGAGCTGGTTTTCAGATAAGTGAGGTCCTATTGCATTAGTCAGAGTTCCTGACAGTGTTTGGTAAATGGATGAGAATAAATGTTAGACTTTAATTACAGAGCCCCGAGGGAGCTGTTACTCCTCCACATTTCTAGTTTATAATAACAATAAACACCACATCCCATCACTATTTGACCTTCCCCAGAAAGAACCACTGACTTTTAGAAGGAGAAAAATCATTTTCCACAAACGAATGAAAAATAGTTTGTGACTCTCTTTGTGGTTTTGCAAGATAGAAAATACAACTTTCAACTTACCTGATTTTAGATGTATAAAGAACATATATGTTTTTAAAGATTAATAGAGAGGGAGTCCTCCCTAAATGAAGTTTTATATTGGAATCCTCATGGCTACAAAGTTGAAAGGGAAATGAAATGTATCATAAAGCAAAAAAGAAAAAGAAAGTCACCAAAAGACACAATCCACCTATAAAATTAGTCATCATCAGACATCCAAACTGAACAACTCCTTGTTCCTGTTTGCGGTCCATGTTTTTCTTCTTCTATACCTCTGCTCAAGCAGAGCCTTCTGCCTAGAACACCTGTCTGTGCATCTGTACATCCATCCATCATCCATTTATACAGCCATACAGCTATGCATCCATCCATATATCCATCCACTCAGCAGCAGTTACCAAATATCTTCTGTTTGCCAGGATCTGGGCCGTGAGAGCATACCCTCAACATCCCTCAAATGCCACCTCTTCCAAGTAGCAAATGCTCCCCTGACTCCTTACCCCCTACCCCACAAAGTTAAAACTCCTCCCCCTTTCTCTGAGTGCCCATAGCAGTTCATGACTTCTCTTTTAGAGCACGGTACTATGTTCTACTTGATGTTTTATCTTCTGGTGTTGCTATCTTATCTCTGTCAAAGGAGAGTTGGTGACTGTTCAGCTCTGCATCTTCCTCCTCCAGGATGCCAAGAGCTGAACTGATTTGTGGCCACCAGTTAGACTCCCCTCTCTCTCTTTTTCATACACTTCTCTTCCAGGGCTAAAGTTGCTGCAGCTGATGGGCCCCCCGGGATCCCAACCCAGACCCTCACCCCTGTGAAATACACAGTAAAAATAGACAAAGACGCCCTCCTGCAGGACTATGGATTTCACATTTCCGAGAGCCTTCCCCTCACAGTGGTGGCCGTCACAGCAGGTAACAAGAGCTGACTCTGAATGAGAAAGGCGTTTGGCTTCCTGGGGGAAATTGCCCTGGTTTTCTTCCCATCGCTCTGTCCTATAACATAATGCAGAAAATGCTGCCCTAGGAAGTTAGAAAGGGCATGCCTAATTCTGACCTAATTCCCTCTTGGGCTTTGCACTTTCCTTTGGTGCCAGGAGGGAGGGAGCCCCAAGTGCACCTGCTGACCTGAACCCCAGGCTCTTGCAGGCCTCAGGCAGGGCGTTACCCACGCTGGGCTCTCTGGCCAGTCTCAGGGGCAGTGACAGTATTTGAATCAGCCAGCACTTCTCTTTGAACCCTGCATGCTCTGAGGTGGGGAGAGTTTCTAGTCAGACAGTAATAGAAATTATCGATTTGTTTTCACTTGAGTCTTTGCAAAATATAGGCTGCATCAGGGTGAAGAGCAGCAGGCTGGGAATGTCTAATGTTTGTTTTTATACTTCAGCTATATATTGATGTTAGATGTGGGACTAGTTAAAATCATCTGTTAATTTCAGTTTACACACACACCACCACCACTTCCACCACCATCACCACCAGACCTCCTTAGAGATGAATGTAGTACACTCACTGGCCAGCTTTGTTGATTCAGGGGTTCTGCTAGTCTCTTTCCCAGCACGGTCTCATAACATCCCTTGAAGGTGATGGGTGGTAGGTACGTTATGCATGATTTGCAAACAGGAAAATTGAGATCCATGGGAGCCCAAGGCTGGTTGGGGGATGAGGTTGAGGGGTGCAGGGAGCCTTTGCCCTGGGGAGTGAGTCAGGCTGCCATTCAGGTGTGCTACTGTGACACGTGAGGTCTGGGCCCTCCTGCAGCGAGCACCAGTTACTTCTTTTCTGTCCTACAGGAGGCTGTGCTTATGGCAAGCTTTTCCCTGGCGATCAGATCCTCCAAGTGAACAACGAGTCTGCCGAGGACCTCTCCTATGAACGAGCAGTTGATATTCTGAGGTACTAAGTTTTCTTCTATTATTCAGAGTCGCACAGACTATCATGGAAGACAGATGAGTGACAGGAATGGCATAAGTTGATCTCCACGTGATTTCAGTAGAGTCTGGTCTCTTTTTAGAGCAGCAACAACAGCCTCATTTTAGAATTCCATGTTGGTTCCAACCTGCTCTTTCATCTGCCTACAGAAGTGTTTGGGAGGGGCAGGGGGATATATTTATTAAACCCCCACTATGCCCAGACACTGCTAGGCACTGTGGGGAATGTAATTATGAATAATACATAGCCCCTACCTTTTATAGATTTATAGGATTGTTTTAATACATGCCAAAAATTGGACAAAATTGCCCCTCAATCTGTTTGTTCTTCTTTAACCCTTTTGATACCTCTTCTTAAATGTTCTTGCAGATACAGCCTGGTTGGTATATATGTAGTTTCGTTGATAGGGCGACTACCACGTTCTACCTGGTATCATTGTGATTTGTGTAAATGCCTCACTTTCTGCCTAGACCATGATCACCTTGAGACCAGGCACACAGTGGGTGCTCAGTTGAACAAGTGGGTATGGTTGGCACTGACAATTGGTGACCCTGGTGTTAAGATGGAGGAATGTCAATGATAGGAGTGAAGAGGACTAACAGATGTCTTCTAGGCTCACGTAGGCTTTGTCTTTTAAAGTTTTCACTCAACGCTTTTTAATGACTTTTCTATAAATAAGGAGAAATGAGAAATCGAGTTAGATGAAACTTTAGTTTGTGTCTTCTTGTGAGTGGCTGATCTGGTTTTGGAGGGGTTTTCAGTCCTGAGAGCCTATCACGTGCAGCACATACTTAATAGTCGGCAACACTAACAAAGTCAGAGAAAAAGCTAATGAAAATGCAAGATGCAGTCTCCACCCCCAGGAAGCACACAGTCTCACCACAGAGATTCACATACACAGCTTAAGATTTATCGAGAATCCATCAAAGTGTAGAAAGTAGAATCCTTTTAGCCCAATATTGCTTCAGGACTGTCAGTGAATAAGTTGAGTGGGTGGGGCAGCCAGGAAAAGATTTGGTGATTTCACTTTAAAAAATGAAGCATGGTTATGGAAATTACGAAACTGGCTTTCCCAATTATTAGGCGATTTTCTCAAAGATGATCGATTCTAGCAAATGAATTTGAGACTTTCAGTGCTATAAATATTTCTGCCAGGCTAGATCAAACTCTGACTAATGAACAAAAATATTTACAGTTTAAAGCAGTAGACCAGAATGTGGGTGTTTAGGTAACAGTGAACGCAGTCTATTCACTGAGCACCTGCTCTGGCAATGAACCCTGTGGGGCAAAGGTGGTCCACTGCCCAAACACGTACAGGCTGGTAGCGCAGCAACAACTCATGCACACCCTGCTGAGACTGAGAGCAGACGCTGCAGCAAGAGAAACAGAGGGAAGGGGCCATAAATCCTGGCGATTCCTCCAACTTTGGGGGAAGCTGTGGTTTGACAAAACAGAAAAGTCCAGAAGTATTTCACCTGTACCTTCAATGCTGGGTAGAATTTGGCCCACAAAGATGGAGGTGAAGGGTGATTCAGGCAAAAAGATAAGCAGGAGGAAGTGGGTGGGGAGCTGGGTGGAGGGCCCTAAGCATTCCCCACAACGCCTAAAGCACTGGATGCCTAGAGAAAAGTTCTGTGTCATGAGGCCCAAGAGATGGAGGGTCGTGAATGCTGACACAGCAAGTCCAGGTGTTACTCTCCTCCTGGAAGGGCGAGCCATTGAAGACTCCTGAGCAGGGTTGTGACTTGATGTGCACCGCGCATCTGTGTGCTCTGCTATATGCTGCCTGTGGGAATCCCAGGACTGCTGATTTTTTTTTTAGCTTAGTTCCCAGTGTCATTGCCACTTACGTGGGGAAAAGAACCAAGCAAAGCAAAATGGCACAACCACAAAACCACTCTAATTCCTCCAACTATCTGTGAGGCCAAAATGTCGTCTTGAGAGCACTCGGACCTTGGTTTGTTGTGAATTATCTTGGAAAAGGCCTGTTCTTATATAAAATGGAAAAGAGGCAATCCCCAGACACTTAGAAACCCGGGGTTGAGTTTATCTATTTGAGGAAGTAATGCACCAGTAGCAATTAGCCTAAACGTTCGTATTGCAAGAATCCAAATGAAATTATTTTGCAAACTTCTCAGTGTAGCAACGGCAAAGAAAAAGGCAAACATGAATCTATTTTTCAATTCCTTTCTCTAATACAATGTGGAAGTTTGGCAGTTATCTGGTTGGTTTGATCACTTTGGGAATCTAAGATAATAAGAGAAAAATACATAGTATCTTGATTATATGGCTGGGCTCATCACACTGACTTTGTGTGCCCCAAACATCGTAAAAACTAGTTGGCTTTTGCCTGACAAATGATATTCATGTTCATTCATTCTATTGGGTTGTCAGAAAAGTCATGATGCATTTTTGCAACGAAAAACATAGAAAAAATACGTCATGACTTTTCCGACAACCTAATATTTAGTGAAATGCTAGGCCTAAGTTTTCCGGTACAGTAACCTAAGTGGTCTGTGTTATTGCTATGTTTTCTCTTAAAAAATTTTGTACATAAACCTAACTAGTAGTTATAGCAACTGGATGAGCTCTCCATCATATAGACTAAACTAAGGCTCAATGACCTAATTTAGTAACTATAGGTATAGACTAGATAGACGGTAGAGGCAGGTATCTGAAAATTCCCTCAAGGTAGCAGGGGTGCTTTGGGACAGCTTAAATTCTTTTACTTTCCTCAATGTCCTTCTCAATTTTGCTGAGCCAAAAAAGCTGAGGCGAGAAAGGCTGCTTTGTAATTCTTTGACCCTAACACACACACACACACACACACACACACACACACACACACACACACACACACCACCCAGAATGACGGAATGTTTTTGTCTTCTTTTTTTCAGGGAAGCTGAAGATTCTCTTTCAATCACAGTTGTTCGCTGCACGTCGGTAAATCCCTTTTTATGTCCTGTGTGTTAGTTTTACCTTTCTTAACTCCAAGCCTCTGTTCCCTCAGTCGGACGTCCCTCAGAGGATAAACAGGAAAGCTGCCATGCTGCGGGTGGCCTGGCAGTCAGTGTTGCCAGTGTTGTGGAGGAAAGAGACGTGGGTGCAGGTTTCAAGAGCTCATGATCCAGCTAAGGAGACAGACCTGTGATTATCCAGAGTGGGACAATGAGAAGGGCACCAATCTAGGGGTCTTAAGACAGGTTGGAGTGGTATGACTTTGGGCAAGTTGTTTCATTTCAGTTTTCACTTTTGCAAAACAATGATGATAACTGCCTTGTCTCTCTAATGGGTTGTTATGAGGGTCAGATGAGGTGTTGGATGTGAAAGTATTTTATCAGCTTGGACATTCTTCATAAGGCAAGGTGTGCTTAGATGATGCACAGGGAGAAAATGGCAATTCTAAACCACCACAGGCAAGGGACCCTTTATATGTGATACAGAGGATCAAATTATAAGAGAAAACTACCCTGGGGGGAAAGTTAAAATAAAATTCTCATTCTGACAGACTTTAATACATACCTCTTAGCTTTGGCCACATAAAGACAAAAAATAAATAGGGGCATAGAGAATTTTAATAATGCATTGAATAATCTAATTGACCACATACTAAGCTACCAAAAATACTCAACAAATTCCCCAAATGTATATAGGTTGGTATAGGTCTCTTTTCCAGAATATAATAAGGTAGAAATTAATAACTATCCAAAACTTCATTAAAACCATCAACCATTTGGAAATAAAAATGCAGTGTCCTAGGTAAAAATGGAGTCAAATGGAAAAGCAAAACTACCATTATAGACTAGTCGGAAAATAATTAAAAATTAGATTTCTTCTTCTTAAAACTTATGTGCAGGTGAAGCTGTACTCTGAGTAAAATTAATAGCCTTAAGTGATTTTTTTTTAAATTATTTAATAGGTAAATAGGTCAAGTAAATATTCAGTGCAAGAAGTAGGAAGAAAAGACCAATAAAACAACCATAAAACAGAATAAAGAAAATGATAAAAATTAAAATCTAAATGATGTTTTGCAAAACAGAAAAAAAATTGTAAAGTTGATAAATAAATCCAAGAGCAAGTTCTTTAAGGGAAAATATAAGAAAATAGGAAAACTTGAGGGAACAGGAATATGTGGGCCCTATGTGAAGGAATCTAATAGAATATTACTGAAGATGTAAAAAAAAATTTTAATATAAAAAGAGATAGATACCATATTCCTTGATGCGAAGACTATTATTAATGTATTGGTTTTTCTCATATTAATGTACTGTTTACTGAAAGCTAATCACTATAAATGGCCATGCAGATGTTAAGAGGTTCTTTTTTATTTAGCTGATTATCATCTCAATGGAGAACATCTTAATCTTGATTAGGTGTTTTTTTCCCTGCTCTATTTCCAAGAAATGAAAGCCAAAGATAACACTTGCTAAGTAAGGAGAGAGCAAAACAGCATATAGCTGCATCCTTTAAAAAAGAAAAGTAGTGCAAATTCTGAGCATCTAAAGGTTCAATTCCCAGCCTAAGCTGAGCTGCCACTGAGCGGCCAACAGGTGGCAGGATGGCTCAACTAAAAAAAAAAAAAAGAAAGAAAGAAAGAAAAAAGAAAAGAAAAGTATAGGGAGAGGAAAATTAACATGTTCCAGTACCACTCCTGAGATTCCTACGAGGTTCCCACGAAAAGGAGTGTGGATGCTGTGCTCCCGAGGTCTTGCAGAGAAAACTGAAATTAGCCTAGACGATGGCCCTCAGTGCCTCCCAGAAGTTCCCTAAACATCTTCTCTCACCAGTTATATGATCATATATGTCTTGCTTCAGCAAGGACGCTCATGTTTGCCATAGCAGATTCTTAGCGTCTTCAAATGACTCGGTTAGGAATTGTAAAATCCAAAGTTGGAATATCAATTACTGCTTCTCTAAAGACATAGAATTTTATGGGGAAAAAAAGTTTTGGTTTAATTGTGTAGCTCTGCATTTATATTAATTATTTATACTTGGTATGATGTTAATACTAATATTTCACTTAATTTGTACCAAAAGAAAATCCTACAAGGCAGATATATTTGTTATCCCCCTTTTACAGATGGGGACGCTGTGGCCTCACATGCCCATGGTCTCACATGAAGGAATTAGTGGAGCTGGGTTATTTTCCAGTTAGTTAGGCTCCAGAACCCACACTCACTAGCATTATGCTATTCTACCTCTGAAAACCCTGTTGTCTTCATAAAATGGCATTGGCCAATCCAGGGCATGGGGAGGGGAGGATCACAAAAAGATAAAGAAATATCTTCCAAATTGTTGCTTTCAGTTCCCTTTTAAGCATTAACTCTTTTAGTCTAGCAAAAACATGCACAGCGACCTTTTTATCAACTTAGGTCTGCTGCTGTCTGGAGACCTTAGCAGTCCTAGAATAATGGGTAACTCATATCCTTTAAATTGTCTCTTTTTAATACCAGATGGCTCGAGCGGGTAGTTTACAATATGCTTTAGATGCCAAGGTACACAGGTAGCAGAGGTGACATTCAGGTCTAAAAGTGTAGGAGCAGGGGTGGGGCCTGTGCATTGGGCCTTATCATGACAGAGCATATTCTTTCTCAAAGCAGCTACACAGTTTCATGGTTGGATGGTTCCACGTGGAAGAGAGGCCCTTCTTCCCTGTGACTCCCACCGGTTAGTCCTAGTTCAGGTCAAGTCAGCCTTGTATGAAATAGCTCTTCAACGGTTCGGAAGTATGGCCTTTCTCTTCTCTAGGTTAAACACTGTCCCATCAATTCTTCATTATATCTGTTTGTCTGATAACTTTCTGGACAGATTCCAATTTTATGGTGACCCTAACAAGTGGTGGCACCCAGAAAGGAATCAAGTTTCACCTATGGTCAAGCGGTGTGAGTACCACGGAGAACAGAGGGTGCAGTTCCAATATGCACCTAGAATGCTGGTGAAACCCAGGATTGGGTTGACATTTTAGTGAGTCACACTTTTGACTTGAGTGAAACTTGTGGTTGACCAAAACAGAGCTGGTTTTCAAATGAACCACTTCCCAGCCAGCCCCCCATTTCCAATCCTGTGCTTGTGCATTGATTTTTTTTGATCCTCAACGTTACCCTTCACATTAATTTCCTGTCACATCGCATTGCTTGGCCTACTGTTCTGGCACGCTGAGCTTTTACAGTCAGGGAGTTGTGGCATATGTGTACTGTCATTAGCTGTAGTCATTTTCCCTTCCTGTCAAGGGGCCGCCTCTTCCCAACTCTCCCCTGCTTCCTCCATTATCCAGCCAGTTGATTTTCATTAGCCTGATCCAGCTCTGGGCCTAACTTGCAGGATGCTCTCCCTAGGGTGAGAAACATAGCAGTTGCCTCTGCAGATTCCTTTTCTCTCTGCATCTCTCCTGTTCTGCCCCTGATTTCTCATTCCTTTGAGTCTTTAGGGTGCTGGTGGTTGTGTATGTTGCTTTGACCTCTCACTTAGTCTGTTCCCTTTAGCTCTCGACAACCCTGCCCCCGCCCCCCCCCCGACCTCCCTATGTTTGTTTTTAGTGATTGCCTCGCCACTGACCCATAGCTGCCCCTGGTCCTCAAGTTTTCCATACTCCTCTTTTAGATTTCCCAGTTCCTTTATCTTTCTTCTCAATTTTCTGCTGCCTGAGATCTGATGACACCTTGCAGCCCCATGTCATTCACAGGTTTGGTGAGTCCAATTTCTCTGACTTCATCCAAGGCATTGCTAAACATCATTGATGAGGATTGAGCCAAAGGGAATCTGAGATTTAGATTCAGATTTAGAAATCAGGACAATTTTGAGGATAGGTCAACTAGTTTTGAATCCACCTAATGGCTCTGCATCTGGCCTTCTCCACAGGGGGATTATAGGAGCCCTTATCAAATACTTTACAAGAATGAAGGCATACTACTGTATCCACAGGACCCTGGTCTACCAATCTGGAATCCTGTCTTCAAAAGGAAAATGAACTTGGTTGGCTCTGACTTGTTCTTGGTAACTCCATATTGGTTATTAGTGATCAATATCTAAAAGCTCTCTGACCATCTCTTATCTTGGGTTTTGCCAAGAATTAATGATAAGCTTACCAATATGTGTTTTCTTGAATCTTCCACATTCATTTTCTGGGAAACTTGATATTTAACCACTTTTAGTCTCCTAATATTTCTTCCAATTTCTGTTTTGTGGGTGAAGCCAACTGTTACATGTAAATGGTCCATCAGCCCCCTAGATTCCGTGGTATAGAAGTCTTGAACTCATTCAAATCAGTCTGGTAGCCTCATCACTAATTTTGGGTTTTAATTTCTCTTTCTCTATTCCTTATTTTTCTTCTAGTTGGAAAACCGTTCCGCTTGAAAAAGAAAGCAAATCAAGGTTAAGTAATTTCTCCAGTTGAGGGATTACCACACAGGCGTGCTTCTTCTCTGGAACATTGCTATTCCCTTCTCCTTCTACTAAACATTTTTTTTTCAAGCAAACTTTGTATTTGAGATACTAAATCCTAGTCATGAACCCTGTCACACCAAGTTTCCAGTTACCATAAGATCTTATTTATCTCCTTGCATTAACATTTCAGGGCCATGTGTTCACATCATGTACTTCACGGCATTGGTCTGTTGATACCTGAGTCTATGAGCATTGTTTCCAGCAGGTTCCCTGATTGCTGTTCTGTATCTCTTCCCTCAGCTGCACAGAACATGGCCCAGAGCCCATCTCGGGACTCATACATGTGTAAACATTCTAGCGGCTGTCATAAAGGACTGTTCAGATGCAGGAAACATAGGATGTCAGGCCAGGAAATCGCATATCAAGATTTCATCCAGGAAGATCCCATCCTGTTGGTCTAGATCGTGCAAGTTGCTGTTCATTAAGTTTCAGAGTTTAGCCTGATATGGTCTAGACTACACCGAGGGCTTCACTACATACTGATACCAACCTGTGATGACTCTTTTTACCTCTGGGGAAAGAGGGTACCATTCAAAAGATGAGAAAAGCAAAAAGGGGCCAAGGATAAATCACAGGGGTCAGCACTTCAGGGAGACCTGGAGGTGGCCTGGTCCAACTCCCACATTGTGCAGGTGGGAAGACTGAAGACCAAAGAGGGGCAATGACTTGGCCAAGGCCACACAGAGTTATTTTGTTTTGTTTTACACGCACACTCACACAACTGGTTTCTTCTATGAGAATTTTGTGTTTGAGGTAGCTCTCATGACTGTTGAGTAGCAGAACTTGGGTTGGAATTGAGATCTCCTAGTTCACAGGCCAGTTCTCTTTGTCTTCCTCCTACCACAACCATTCTGAATCTTCGACTGTTCTCAGACACATAAGAGCATTGTGTGTGTTGGGATGCCTAGATTTTATGAAAATGGATCTTTAATGGGACGATGTCTTTCTCTGTGGGTGTTCATTGAATCCTTAACAGCTGTCCGAGTTTTTGCTTTTGTTTTTAAGACATGAGAATGTGTTCATGACTTTTATGAAAGTCTGGTTCTAAAATGTGTTGTGTTGATGTTTTGCAGGGAGCCCCCAAGTCCTCCTTCCTGACCGAGGAGAAGAGAGCCAGGCTGAAGACCAACCCCGTGAAGGTGCACTTTGCTGAGGAAGTACTTGTCAGTGCACACAACCAGGTGTGTCACTGTCGCTAGTCAGGGGATTGAAATGACTCGTCATGAAGCTGGTGAGCTGGCACATAGCTCCCCAAGACTCTGGAATCCTGCGGCATGGAGAGGACACAGAGGAGGTGCAGTGGGTTTGCTACAGGCTCTGTGCATCCCCAGTAAGATGCCTGCAAACCATGGACAGGGAGAGCAGTGTGGGCTCTGGGTGGGAGCCAGAGAGAGGAGCACTGGGTGTGGTTCTCTGTCTCCATTCTCCTGCTCATGAAATTTCAACAGATTCCACCTGTTAAGTTCTCATTTTGAATCTTTAAACGCAGTATTCCTTCTGAAGGTGATATACTGATAGTAGTGATGGTGGTGGTGGGGAGGGCTTTTTTTTTTTTTCAATAAGTCCATCTTTTGAACCTCTGTTATTGTGTGAACCTAAATTTTTTGTGTACATAATCCTTAGTCATCACAATACCCTGCAAGGGAGGTAGTTTAACAAAAGAGGAAGCAGAGGCTTAGAGAGGTTAAGAGAATTAACCTCTGAGATCATGTAGCAAGAAAACACAGGAGCCCAGGTCTATGTGACTTGAATTCTTTTGTTTTCCACTATGATACATTGTCTAGTCCTTTATGATATGAGGAGATCCAGGGTTCGGGGCTCCAAAGACACATTTGTAAAGGGAAAATATTGGCTGGAGTTTGATGTTTTTAATGTAGACTGTTGGATAAAAGACTCATTTATTTATAATTTACGCATTTTCGCCTCAATGCTCTATAATTGCCATAATTGATTGTCATAATTCAGTGATCAGTATTAGATTTTGAAACTTTCAGGTAAGAGCTTGTCCATATGTGGTATTCTCACTATAGAGATCAGAGAATGGAGAATCATGGTCATTCTAACAAATGATCCAGGTGACCTGGTTCACATCTGCAGAACCCTTATTTTCTACCTGTCCTGCTACTTAACACACCACACCTTTGTTAGACGGAGAGTGAGAGATGGGATTGTTCAGGAAGCGGGCAGTGGGAGGCCTAAGGTATTAATCAGAAAAGACCTGAGATCTTGTCACTCAGCAACATTGGAGTCTCTTTGTGTCCACATTTGTGAAAATGGATTGAACCTTTTTCACAAATTAAATTTGGATTCACCATGTTTTTAAGAGCAGTACACAGCAATGAGAAGTAGGGGTGAGAACCAGCTAACAGGAGTCATTCTATCTCAAGTCTTGGGGATTCTAGCACCTTTCACTCATTCTGGAAGACACCAGCCCTCTTTATTTGCAGCTAAACACTTGGAGTTCACTTGTTATGAGAGTGGGCCCTGGAGAGATTCTCCAAACCCAAAGGGAACGTTCCCCTGCCCTGCTCCACCCTAGGAATTCTGGCTGGCATGGGGTCACCAAAACCAGACCAGTCCTGTGCCTCCTTCCCAAAAGGCCCTCTAAGAATAGCAGAGTCCCTTAGGAGATCCTGCAAGTCCGGGGTGATGGTTGGGATGAATGCAGGTGGAGAGCAGCCCTCTGCCCTTTGGTGATGCTTCACTACAGGGAATATAGCGGTAAAATGGGGGAGGGGAGGCTGTAAAGGGCTCCACTCCAACCCCACAAGGCATAGTTTGGGACAGTGTGCATGACTGTCATCTGACTTGCTAAACTGCATCCCCTAAGAGTGACAAATAGCAGTGAAGTGTCAGCTGATGATCAGGAGACATCATATAGGCTGGTACGGTGCTCTCAGTGTGCTTGTGGCAGGGCTCACTCTTCACTATCTCTCATGTCTCACAGTTCTAGTGGCTATCCCTTGCACAAAACATGCCTGCCTCTGTGCAGCATAGGCCTTGTCCACTGGAGAAATCTCCAAATGCCAAGAATCAACAGATGGCATGGTGAGGAGGTCAGGGAGGAAGTGTCCTGTTCTCCACACCAGGCAGGGCCAGGGGATCTAAGGATTTGTCACACCCTGGGATAGGAAGGGACAGTTTCAACACGATCTTGTGTTTTCCAGGGAAATTCTCTGCTGTGTATGCCTAACGTGCTCAAGCTGTACTTGGAGAATGGACAGACCAAAGCTTTCAAGTTTGAGGCAGATACAACTGTGAAGGTATTAAGACTAAACTTGAATCTCTTTCCCAGTGAGAATCTGCTGGCTCCTAGGACCCCCAGCATCTTGCCCTGCATCTGCCTAAATAACCAGCATAGTTAGTATTTTTATTACCATCTCGCAGGAGAGGAAATCAGGGCTCAAGAGGTGAAGGGACTTGCCCAAGGTCATACAACTCGTAAGCTTTCACCCCTAACTACTGGGCTTCCCTGCCTCTTACATGTGACCCCACCTGCTCCCCAAAAGACTAGAGTACCTAAAAACCCAGGTGAGGTATCAGGGCAGGCCCAGGCCTTTGCATATTCTGTTCTGAGTTGAAGTCAGTTTAACTTTAATAAGTTCCCCCATACGAGATGCTCTGGGCCGGGGTTGGGGTACAGAGCTAGGTAAAGAGTGGGCACTGTCCTCTAGGAGCTTACAGCCTAGTTAAGGGAGGATGGACATTCAAGGAGCTCCCAGTAGTCCAGGTCAGGATGGAATAAGGGCTTTAAAGAAAGGGACAAGGAAGTGCTCTGTATGCAAGAGTAAGAGGGTCATCCGTTCCATTCCATTAGGGTGTCAGAGAAGGCTTTGGAAAGAAGTTGAACCTGAGCTGAGCTTTCAAGGGCAACTAAGAATTTAACAAGGGCTGTTGGGAGGGTTGGAGGGTGCACATCTGTCTGAGGGAGTCACATGAACTAAGGCAGAGAGCCAATTAGAAGGGCATTGCCCACGAAGCAGTAAACCATCCAGTAGGACTGGCACACTGGCCATTCTCTTGTGAGAGGAGTGGGAGACAGCACAGGCTGGCTGTGGAAGGCCTCAAATGACAGCAACAGGGTTTGGGTTTCATCTGTAGACAGTCAGGGACGGCCCTCTAGTTCCTGAAGAAGGGAGTAAAGAGTGTTAGAGTGAGACTCCAGGGAAGAGGCAAACAAAGGGCTTGTTCAAACACTGAGCTCAGCTCTTGTGATCCTGGGAGAAGAGCAGGGGCAGGTGCGCCAGTGCAGCTATAGGTAATGGACAGTAGCCGAGACACACATGCACACACACATTGACACACATGCACATCCACACACACACAACTCACACACCCATGCCTGCACACAGTCAGTGTTCCTCTGTGGCACTTTCCTTTGGCAGTTCCTAGAGCTGCTCCAAATGCCCTATCCTATTCTTACCTCAGCGTGACTTAGAAGAAGCTGAAGAAAGCCTCTCAGTGAGTCTGAGAAGCCCAAGCCTGAGGAGGACGGGGAGGGAGGAACGGACCTGTTAAGTGTTTATTACCTGTCTGGCACTCTCCCGGGCACTTCCTTGTGTACTATCTCATTTAGTGTCCCCAGTAACCTTGCAAAGTGGTGAGTGTTATCCTGACTTTGCAGATGAGAACACAGGCCCGTGAGATCCAAAACTTGTCAAGGTCAGATAAGGTCATAACTGGCTTCAAATTTCGTCTGTTTCTGAACCCTGTCCTGGAGCTTGCCACACTGCCATTCTGCACAAAAGGGAAGTTTTGCAAATAGACAGGTTTTCTACTCCTGTCATCCTTGATCAGAGTGCCCCCTGCGATGGAAGGGATGATTTACTTAAACCAGGTCCCCCTTTGGTGGCCCAAAACTTTGAGGTGATTTACAGTAAAAGCATACAGCACAGGGGATCTGAACCCAAGATGATGATAGATGGAGTTAGGGAAATGAGTAAGGACTTAGCTGCTATAATATGGGTTAATCTTATCTGTAGTAACCAAATTTTTAAAAGCAAATCTTTTAGCTCTTTATCACAGAGAGAGGGGGGATATGAACAAATCCTATGGATAAAAAAAGGAAAAATCACTATCAGTTCATCAGTGACTTCTCTCCTCTCCCCCTTACCAAGGAAAACAAAGTTCTTAAATTAGAAAACCCTCTTTCTCTAAATCAAGAAAAATAATGTCATTTGACCCAGCAAACATTTACTGACACTTTTTGTGTGCCAGCAAAGATGTTGGTGATACAAAAACAAATGACCTAGGGTCACACCCAAAAGGAGCCCGGAGTCTTGGGATCGGGCTGGGCTGAGGAGATGAGACCTGGGGAGAAGTCACTGAAACTATGAAAGGTACAGCATGCTCAGGACCATGAAAGCAGGACATGAAAATGCGTGCCGTGGGCTCAGGGCAAAGAGATCTTCTAGCTGGGTGGCAAGAAAAGGCCTCTGGGGAGTGGTGGCCTACAAGGCAGACTTATGATAGATGGGCTTTGACAGGAATGGGTCAGGAGCAGGGTGTGAAGACAGTATCCTGGGCATGGGCATTGGCACCAACAAAGACCCAAAGATGGGAAAGTTTGGCAAGTGTGTGGGGTTTGTGAGCAGAGTACACTGGGAGAAGCAGCAGAAGATAAAGTGGGAGAAGTGCGTTGGCACCTAATACTTGAGAGCCTTGACTAGTCAGCTGAGTTTGGATTTGGGATAGTGGGCCATGGGGAGCCACTGAATGTTCTTGAGCAAAGCAGAGCATGACCAGTACAAGGCTTAGACAAATTTCTGTAGATCAGGACTCAGCAAACTTTTCCCGTAAAGGGCCAGATAGTAAATATTTTAGGTTTTAGAAGCTATCAGGCCTTTGTCACAGTTCCTCAACTCTGCCTTATAGCAAATGGGCATGGCTGTGTTCCCATATAACTTTAATTACAAAAACAAGCAGTGGGCTGGATTTGATCTTCGGGCTATGGTTTGCCAACCCCTGCTCTCGATGCAAGGTAGAGAGAGGACTGGTGGGTAGCAGAGGGGTCCTTAGGACACCACTCTACAAAGCCAGAGAAGTGTGTGAGCTCAAGCCAAGGCAGACGTGGGAGAATGGAGAGAAGGGTCAGGGTCAAGAAATGGCTGTCTATCACGGCCAATGCGCAGTAGGCGTGGAATGAATGTTGCTGAGTTACAGAAGCAGATAGATGCTTCAGGACTTAGTCACTGGGTACTTTGGAGGGTGATGGAGTCAGCAGAAAGAATATTCAGAGCTGGGAGTCGCAAGAGCGGTAGGCACTTCATGGTTGACACTATATCTGAGGTTCTGGCAGGACATCCACAATGAAGCTGTGATAATTATTCAACAAGTGAAAGTTTATTGAGCATCAGTGAGCTCCGAGTTTTAGGGATATAATGGAGCACAAGACAGGGCAGATTTGTATTCTAGGGGAGTTTACCATCTAGTGGCGTGAAAGGCAATAAGCAAGAAATCAAATATTCACAGTCAGCATGTATGGAACACTTGTCATCTGCCAGCTACTGTTCTAAGTGTGTTCTATGGGAAATTAATTCCATGCACACAACAACCCTATGAGAGAGGTGTTAATATCATTACCATTTTACAGATGAAAACACTGAGGCATAAAGAGAGTAAGCAATTGATCCAGGGACAGAGAGCTAGTAAGCAGCAGTCTAGTTCTAGAAACGCATTCACTTAGCTTTACTATACTGTCTCTCACTAAAGAACATAGCTGATATTGAAGAAGATAATATTAAATAGTGATGAGGGACATAAACAGGACACTGGGACAGAGAATGACAGGGGCAACCACGTTTACATACAGTGACCAGAGAAGGCCTCTCTGAAGAGAAAGAAGCAGCCTTGTGAAGAGTCATGGGAAAAGTGTGCCAGGCAGAGAGACGAGCACAAGTGACTGTCCTAAGGCAGCAAAGACCTTGTGAAGACAAAAGGCGGCAGTAGTGAACAAGGGGAACGTGGCCTGGCAACTCTAGTGGCACAGTATTAATTATCATTCCATCCTATCAGCCACTCTACATAGGCATCGTTAGCCTCCATTCTGCAGGAAGAAACAGGTTCAGAAACATCTGGTTGATTTTCCACAGTTGCGTAGCGGGTAGGTGGTGGGATTCTGTCTGGTAAGCAGCTGAAAATGCAGAGTCCAGAGAGAGGGTGAATCAGTAGACCATGAAGAGACGCATAAGCCCCCAGTGGGTGGCTTCAGCCTTCCAGGTAAAGGAAGAGAGGATGGCCATATGGGTGGTGCTGGAGCCTTGAGGAGCGGGGAGCAGTGGATGTCTGGCCATGAGAAGTCCCCCATGTTATCTGTCAAGGTTTGGCTGTCTGAGTTGGCAGTAGACCCAGTGAGTACAGGCTTTTCTCTCCCCAGCTGCACCGAGGAGCAGAGAGAAGGTCGGGGGAGCCCTCCCTGCTCTGTGCCTGAGCATGAGGGCCAGTCTGCTCCTCAGGTGACCCTTACACCTCTCTGTGCCTGGTAGGACATCATCCTCACTGTGAAGGAGAAGCTGTCAATCAGGAGTATAGAGTACTTTGCACTGGTCCTGGAAGAGCAGTACAGCATCTCACGGCTGCACCTGCTGCATGAGGAGGAACTCATCCAGCAGGTATGTCCTGTTCCTGCTCCTGGTGAGGAGATCCAGGTTGGGAAAGCTGCACGCCTCAACCAGGACCTTTGGGGACAGGGCTCAGCACATCTGCAGGTTGATGCACTTTCTCATGCCCAGAAGGCACAGAGCTCACTTAGCCTGGGGATAAGAGGATGAGAATCAGGTCTGATTCTCATTGAGGTAGGCAGGGCCCCATTTTGCAGATGTGGAGACAGAGGCTTAGAGAGGTAAGGTGATTTACTCAAGGTAATGCAGCCAATGGAGCCCCATCTTTTGCTGCTAGCTCTGATGATCTCTCCTTGAACCTGCTGCCTTTGAGATGTCAGAGAAGCATTGGTTGCTGTGTCTAAGCCCTTTCTGTGAGACTTACTTCCTGAGCTGATCCCTGATGGCAGGGCGGTTCAAACACAGTCCACCTGCACTGCTCAATCTTTTGACCATTCAGTGATTTGTGGTACCAACTTTTAAAATCCAAATACAGGTCAGTTCAACAAATCCTTGTTGAGTGTGTACTATTACAAAGATGAATAGGATTTCCACAATTGGAAAAGGAGAAAGGGTTTTTTAGCAGGGAAACAGATGAGCAAAGCATGACTGCATGGAAGCCACTCTGAGCATTCCTCCATCGCAGATGAATTCTTACCCTAGTCACTGACCTTCTAATACTGCTGCTTGCAAACTTTTTTAAAAAAATCATTTTTATTTCATTAGCATCAGAAAACAAAATCAAATTAAATCCCTAAGATAGTTGAAGTAAAAAAAAAAAAGGAAGGTATAAACTCTATATAATGTATACTATGCTATTATTTGTGGAAAAGAATATACATATATAGAAGCATGTATAATGTATATACATAGACTGTTTCTGGAAGGGTATATAAGAAACCGGAAGCAGAGATTTCTTCCGGAAAGGGGAATGGGTTGATGGGGGGGAGTGAGAAACTGCCCTTTTGAGCCTTTTACATTTTATACCCATGAGAAAGTCAAATTAGGAGCAAAGGTCTGCGCTGTCTTGGGAAGCACTAAAATTGAAATCTCTGGGGACCATCTTTTATTGTCTTTTTNGTGGTGCGATGGTTAAGAACTGGCTTGGGATACCAGAGGGCCCCGGTTCGGATCCCACATATGAGGGCCAGTTACACTGCCCTCCAAAAAAAAAACAAACAAACAAACAAAAAAAAACAGTTCCTCAACTCTGCCTTATAGCAAATTGGCATGGCTGTGTTCCCATATAACTTTAATTAGAAAAACAAGCAGTGGGCTGGATTTGATCTTCGGGCTATGGTTTGCCAACCCCTGCTCTCAATGCAAGGTAGAGAGAGGTCTGGTGGGTAGCGGAGGGGTCCTTAGGACACCACTCTATAAAGCCAGAGAAGTGTGTGAGCTCAAGCCAAGGCAGACATGGGAGAATGGAGAGAAGGGACAGGGTCAAGAAACGGCTGTCTATCATGGCCAGTGCGCAGTAGGCGTGGAATGAATGTTGCTGAGTTACAGAAGCAGATAGATGCTTCAGGACTTAGTCACTGGGTACTTTGGAGGGTGATGGAGTCAGCAGAAAGAATATTCAGAGCTGGGAGTCGCAAGAGCGGTAGGCACTTCATGGTTGACACTATATCTGAGGTTCTGGCAGGACATCCACAATGAAGCTGTGATAATTATTCAACAAGTGAAAGTTTATTGAGCATCAGTGAGCTCCGAGTTTTAGGGATATAATGGAGCACAAGACAGGGCAGATTTGTATTCTAGGGGAGTTTACCATCTAGTGGCGTGAAAGGCAATAAGCAAGAAATCAAATATTCGCAGTCAGCATGTATGGAACACTTGTCATCTGCCAGCTACTGTTCTAAGTGTGTTCTATGGGAAATTAATTCCATGCACACAACAACCCTATGAGAGAGGTGTTAATATCATTACCATTTTACAGATGAAAACACTGAGGCATAAAGAGAGTAAGCAATTGATCCAGGGACAGAGAGCTAGTAAGCAGCAGTCTAGTTCTAGAAACGCATTCACTTAGCTTTACTATACTGTCTCTCACTAAAGAACATAGCTGATATTGAAGAAGATAATATTAAATAGTGATGAGGGACATAAACAGGACACTGGGACAGAGAATGACAGGGGCAACCACGTTTACATACAGTGACCAGAGAAGGCCTCTCTGAAGAGAAAGAAGCAGCCTTGTGAAGAGTCATGGGAAAAGTGTGCCAGGCAGAGAGACGAGCACAAGTGACTGTCCTAAGGCAGCAAAGACCTTGTGAAGACAAAAGGCGGCAGTAGTGAACAAGGGGAACGTGGCCTGGCAACTCTAGTGGCACAGTATTAATTATCATTCCATCCTATCAGCCACTCTACATAGGCATCGTTAGCCTCCATTCTGCAGGAAGAAACAGGTTCAGAAACATCTGGTTGATTTTCCACAGTTGCGTAGCGGGTAGGTGGTGGGATTCTGTCTGGTAAGCAGCTGAAAATGCAGAGTCCAGAGAGAGGGTGAATCAGTAGACCATGAAGAGACGCATAAGCCCCCAGTGGGTGGCTTCAGCCTTCCAGGTAAAGGAAGAGAGGATGGCCATATGGGTGGTGCTGGAGCCTTGAGGAGCGGGGAGCAGTGGATGTCTGGCCATGAGAAGTCCCCCATGTTATCTGTCAAGGTTTGGCTGTCTGAGTTGGCAGTAGACCCAGTGAGTACAGGCTTTTCTCTCCCCAGCTGCACCGAGGAGCAGAGAGAAGGTCCGGGGAGCCCTCCCTGCTCTGTGCCTGAGCATGAGGGCCAGTCTGCTCCTCAGGTGACACTTACACCTCTCTGTGCCTGGTAGGACATCATCCTCACTGTGAAGGAGAAGCTGTCAATCAGGAGTATAGAGTACTTTGCACTGGTCCTGGAAGAGCAGTACAGCATCTCACGGCTGCACCTGCTGCATGAGGAGGAACTCATCCAGCAGGTATGTCCTGTTCCTGCTCCTGGTGAGGAGATCCAGGTTGGGAAAGCTGCACGCCTCAACCAGGACCTTTGGGGACAGGGCTCAGCACATCTGCAGGTTGATGCACTTTCTCATGCCCAGAAGGCACAGAGCTCACTTAGCCTGGGGATAAGAGGATGAGAATCAGGTCTGATTCTCATTGAGGTAGGCAGGGCCCCATTTTGCAGATGTGGAGACAGAGGCTTAGAGAGGTAAGGTGATTTACTCAAGGTAATGCAGCCAATGGAGCCCCATCTTTTGCTGCTAGCTCTGATGATCTCTCCTTGAACCTGCTGCCTTTGAGATGTCAGAGAAGCATTGGTTGCTGTGTCTAAGCCCTTTCTGTGAGACTTACTTCCTGAGCTGATCCCTGATGGCAGGGCGGTTCAAACACAGTCCACCTGCACTGCTCAATCTTTTGACCATTCAGTGATTTGTGGTACCAACTTTTAAAATCCAAATACAGGTCAGTTCAACAAATCCTTGTTGAGTGTGTACTATTACAAAGATGAATAGGATTTCCACAATTGGAAAAGGAGAAAGGGTTTTTTAGCAGGGAAACAGATGAGCAAAGCATGACTGCATGGAAGCCACTCTGAGCATTCCTCCATCGCAGATGAATTCTTACCCTAGTCACTGACCTTCTAATACTGCTGCTTGCAAACTTTTTTAAAAAAATCATTTTTATTTCATTAGCATCAGAAAACAAAATCAAATTAAATCCCTAAGATAGTTGAAGTAAAAAAAAAAAAGGAAGGTATAAACTCTATATAATGTATACTATGCTATTATTTGTGGAAAAGAATATACATATATAGAAGCATGTATAATGTATATACATAGACTGTTTCTGGAAGGGTATATAAGAAACCGGAAGCAGAGATTTCTTCCGGAAAGGGGAATGGGTTGATGGGGGGGAGTGAGAAACTGCCCTTTTGAGCCTTTTACATTTTATACCCATGAGAAAGTCAAATTAGGAGCAAAGGTCTGCGCTGTCTTGGGAAGCACTAAAATTGAAATCTCTGGGGACCATCTTTTATTGTCTTTTTTGTTTAAGTTGCTTTGTGGAATGACTTTGAGGACAAAAGCAGTGAGAAGATGAATGGTATCTCTCTTATCCATTGCAGGTGGTAGAGAGGGAGGAATCACATGACTACCGCTGCCTCTTCAGGGTGTGTTTTGTTCCCAAGGACCCCCTGGACCTCCTGAAAGAAGATCCTGTGGCCTTTGAATACCTCTATCTGCAGGTGATTGGGCCTGTGCTTCCTAAAATAACAGTGGCTGTTCCCAAAGATGACACACTGGGTTATTTTGTACATGAGCTTAAGGCAATTAAGCGACACCCTGATAAGGATTATCTTTATCTGAAGGAGAATGGGCCTGATTATTCCTCAGAATTCCTTTTTCCCTTCACCAAGTTGCTATGTTAGGAGATTAGTGATATAGTAATGAGATTTGGGCTTAGTCCTCAATGTAGATGACACATTCCCTAATACCACTGAGGATATTTAGAGTTACAGTTTTTTATTGCTGCAAGAGGCGTTAGTGCTTCAAAGCCTTATTTTAGAAGTGATGAAACTGAGTCTTGAAAAAAATCACATGATTTGCCTGGGTCACTCATTTTAGTGGGAGATCCAAAAATGGGTTCCTTGGCCCCTAACCTGGTGCTCCCCCTACTACTCTACCTGCTTAGGTGGGATTTATTATGTTATTTTTATTCCGATGAAAAAGAATCCTTCGGGACTCATCACTATTTTAAGGATGAGCTAACTCAAAGTGGGTGGATTGATTTGCCCCAAATCTTACAGAAATGGTGGCAGCAAATAAAAACAACGCTTTATACTTGTAAAATACTGTGTCCCTCATACCTGATTTCGTATGCATTCTCTAATTTAAACCTCACAGAAGCCATGCAACATAGACTTAACTATCCTCATTTAGCAACCGGAAGACCGCAGTGTTCAGAGAGTCTTAGTAACTTAACCCAGGTCACACAGCCAAGAGCTGGCAGAGGCAGTCCTCCAAGCTGGGCTCCTGGTCCTGCTCCCTTTCCCCTGTGAGAACCAGGAGCACCATCCATCTGTCCTCGTTTCCCATCTCTCCTAGAGCTGCAGCGACGTGCTCCAGGAGCGTTTTGCTGTGGAAATGAAATGCAGCTCCGCGCTGCGACTTGCAGCCCTGCACATCCAGGAGCGGATCTACGCGTGTGCCCAGCCGCAGAAGATCTCTTTGAAGTACATAGAGTGAGTGTCGGGGGACTTCTGTGTCCCACCAACAGCAGCTGTGTTGCATTTATAACTTGACTGGCCCCTGGCCAAGAGGGCCTGATGCCACAGAAAGCTGATATTCACCCACCTAGCCATCTGTCCATTGTCTTTCCATCCATTTCTCTCTCCACCCTCTCCCACCCAGCTGGGCTCCCCCAGATGTCAGAATCTGGCTGCTCCTCTGGGGCAGAAGCCAAGTCCACATGGATGGAATGACACGGGATCCCTTTGTAAGTTCCTAGTTCCTGGGAGAATGTCTTGGGAAATTGTTTGACAGCTTCAGGGTAAAGCTCTTCTGAGGGTAAGAATGAATGCCTTGGGAATTAAGGTTGTGTGCGCCTATCATGTTGCGTTATATTCCTGCTAGGGTAGTTTCAAGTTCTGGTGTTCCAACACCGTCTGATTCTTAGCTTAAAATTTCACTTTGCTCTCGGCATTGTCACCCAAGTTTGCTAACCCCCTCACCGCATCTCAGCTCTGTTGTCCTGTCTGGGTATCAAAGTCAAATGGGGAACCATTTTTAAAAAACAGATCCTGGGTCCTGTCCATGATACACTACAGGTTCAAGCCTCTAGGGAATAGGACCTGAGAATCTGTATTTTTCACAAGTTTGTTGAGTTTTGAGGCTGGTAGACTGGCATCATTCTGAAGCGTGAGCCTCGGGGATTCACGGATGTTAGGTATTGCCCTGTGAGCGTATGCTCTACATGCGTGATCGTTATGTGTCACATATACTGCAGTGAAAAAAGACTGAGATCTCCTGCTCTGATTCCCAGAATCTCACACCACACCAAGAGTAATGAATTCCCAGAGAGAGCAGTGGGGTTTAATTCCTGAATGGCTGTAGTTTTTGTGTGTGTGTTGGGGGCAGAGAGAGAGAGAGACAGAGAGAGAGACAGAGAGAGAGAGAGAGAGAGAGAGAGAGAGAGAGAGAGGAAATATATATTAAATATATAAATTCACACTATATGAATTGACAAATGCACACACACATACATATACATATGTACATATGTATAAATCTGTTGAGAAAGAGGCTCATAATCACAGTATTCCAGGAACATTAAGTACTGAGTTAAATGCAATTACATTCTTCATTAGCGCCAACTCACTGTAAAAATGGGCCTCCTTGTCTCCAATGTCTCATGGCAGGAAAGACTGGGGAATAGAGAACTTTATATCTCCAACTTTACTCCGAAACATGAAAGGCAAAGACATCAAGAAAGCCATAAACTTCCACATGAAGAGGAACCAGAATTTGTTGGAACCCCGACAGAAGGTAACACAGCCATAGCCCCTGCCGACCCACCCAGCTAGCTGTCTGTTGTGAAAACTTAGGGACTGCCTTTTCAATACTGCCTTGATTTTAGGCAAGTAAATAATTCTGACTTAACAGTCTTTTTGTTTTCCTATTTAAGCAACTTATTTCTGCTGCCCAGCTACGTTTAAATTACCTACAGATCCTTGGGGAACTCAAGACATATGGCGGTAAAATCTTTAATGCTACTCTAATGGTATGTATTAGAGAACTGTGAAATCCCTTTTTTCTTCTCAAAAATTTTTAAAATTATAGTTGACATTCAATATTATATTAGTTTCAGGGGTACAGCATAGTGATTATAAGGGACCTTAGAGGTCCTCTGAAGTTCAGAGTATCTTCTAGCCTACAATTCTAGAGAAGTCTGTCCTATACTAGAATTTGTTTGGGAAACTAAATATCATACCATCAGGGAATGTTTACCATGCCTTTGCTTGGTGCTAGCCCTAGCATAGATGCTGGAGGAGGCAGAGCTGAATGAGACATGATTTCTATCCTCAAATGATGGAACAAAATAGCAAATAAGACAAAGCAAAACCAAGCCCTGAGAGAGGCACAGGGCTATTGCTATAGAGTTTGAAGACAGAGAGTACCACTACTAGCCTCAGGTCGAGTACGGGAAGGAGAAGGGATTAAGAAAAGGCAAGAAGGTTGGCTTTGGCCAGCTTTCAGTACAGAGGAAAGGCATCCCAAGGGAAGGGTACTGTAAGCTGTTTACTCTGGAGCTTTGGGTGTGTGAAGGTGAAGACGAAACATTAGAAATCATGAAAGAAAGACAAGAATGTTACACTGACTGCCAGGCTGGGGCGCTGACTGTTTAGAAGAAGGGAGGAACTGAAGAGTGGTCCTGAGAAGGGACAAGCAAAGCAAAGGAACCCTCTGCTCTGTTGCCCATTCCTCCTCTGCTTCCTTCCTGGAGCCTAGGCTTAGAGCTGTGTGCTTTTCAGCAGTCAGTGCCTGGGGAGTGTGGCTTCAGGGAACTCTCTCCACACCCTCAGTCAGCCCCAGGACTCTGCAGCACAAAGCCAGACAAGTTACCAATTAGAGGTGGTTTTTTTTTAATATTAACAAATCTCCTTTCAGTGGATTTCATGTACCTCTCAGTCATGCACAGTGATTGATCAATTTAATCAGATTGCCGACCTAACAATATAGATGGAAAAAGAGAAGCAATGTTTTGACAACGAGGGAGAGCATCAGATAATTAGGGAAAGGGAAAAAATACAATAGATGGAACCTTGTACAAGTAGAGGACCAAAAAGTGGAAAAGAGAGTAGAGCACAGAAAGGAAGGCTTGAAGTTACAAGAAAAACTTTGCATGTTCCCCAAGGGCTAATCCTGCCCTCTCCCAGCTGTCCCTGGCACCATCTTTATCTTTCTTGTCTAAGGAAAGAACTGATAATGGGAGAAGCCAACTTCATGGAACTGGCTCAGGGTACTTCCTGGGCACTGAGGTTAGACATGTGGATAAATACAGATTCTGTCCTCAGGAACTTAGCAGGGAATCTGAGACTTAAATCCAAATAGTTACAATAAGAAGTCACAAGTGCTATGCGAGAAGTACAGAGGAAGTAGTGTGGGAACAACACAGAGGAAAAGGGCTATTGTGGTTTAAGGAGAGAGAGATCAAGCAGATATTTTCTGTAGATGTTTGCAATAGGTTTTGATAGAAGCTTTTAAAGAAGAGTCAGGATTTCAATTGGTAATGATGGCAGGGAAGGGGTTTCAAGAGGAAGGCACGGCATGACTATAGGCACATAGGTGTGAAAGTACAGGTTGTGTTTATGGAGCAGGCAATGGTCCTGTGGTTTGGCTCTCTATTGAGAAGGGTCTTAAGGGAGATAAATTTACACTTAATATAGCTGTTGATGGGGCCCAGTTAGGCTGCTGCCTAACTCAGTAGTAGGGAATGGTGGTGGGGACCTGACGTGGGAGTTTGCAGAGAAGAGGTATCAGGTCTTACGTGTGCAATGTATTACCACTAGCTTGTGACTGGAAACTAATTCTCCTTCCGCCCTTCTGCAGTTACAGGATAGAGAATCCTACATTGCCCTTCTAGTTGGAGCCAAGTATGGGATTAGCCAAATTATCAATAGTAAACTCAACATCATGTCCACGTTGGCAGAGTTTGCAAACATCAGCCGTGTCGAGCTGACAGAAGAGTCTGAGAAAGTGAGCATGGTCAAAGTGTATCTTCAGGACATCAAGGTAACACACAGGGAAGAGATTCGGAATCCAGCTTCTGAAATTTTGGGCTAAATTATTCTAGAGTAGTTTATATGAGTTTGGATCTTAAAGCCTAATGTCCAACATTTGTTTGAGAGGATAAATCCATCCTGCGCCATCAAAGGCAAAGTGGTAAATAGGGTGCATTTTCCTGGGCAGTTCCTAAAAGGTTGCCTTTTGTTGTTTTGGGCGTTTTTTTTTTGTATAAGATGAGCTGGACCATGTAATTTCCTGATGGGTTTAGAAACTTAGATGGGAGCACCAGAGAATTTTATTACATGCATGCAACCAGAATGGCTGCCCAAGAGTTTTGAGTGGCAGCAATTAAAATGGGTAAATGATGCAGGGTACTTCCTGAGCCTCTCTGGATGGTCCTACATTTATCCTGCCTTAATTTAATCCAAGCATGCTCAAGGATGGTAGTTTATTCTTATCACCCTCTCTCCCTCTCCATTTGCTCTTGTTCCTTTGTCTTTCCTGGGTCAGGTCTTAAAGGGCCCCATTGTATGAATGAGCAGGGTGGGTTGGGTGGTTGGGATGTGGGGCTGGGTAGGGGAACGGGATGGAGAGGCAGGAGATCCTGTAAAGATTTGATGGAAGGAACCCACTGTGCATCTGTGAGCATGTGTGTGCGCATGTGTGTGTGTGTGTGTGTGTGTGTGCATGTATGCGCTCACTTCAAGTCTTGTAGGTAAGAAGACAGAACGTGAGGAGGCCTGCCTGTGGACCATGACTGTATTTACTTGGAATCTCTCATTGGCCCCAGATGGCCTTGTTGTCCGTCTTCAGATGTCCCTTAGCCCTTTGTAAGCTTAAGAGCTCTCTTTACCTTCAAAGGTTCTTACTTTACTGCTGGAATCCAACAGTGCAAAAGACCTAGCCTGCCTGATTGCTGGGTACTACAGGCTGTTTGTCGACCCAGTTACTTCCATTTTCCTCTGGCCAGGGAACAAACAACAGGTGCACCGGGTATCTGCTGAAGAAGGTGAGGCTCTGAGGCTTGCCCCAGTAAGGACAGGCTCATTTCACTGCCTTGTAGGTAAGGGCAGCCTAAAGAAAGGGAGGTGGTGGATTGAGTTGACCTGAGACTTCCACTCAAGTCGACAAGAGCTATTTCTCCATTTATTTCCTGGTAAACAGTTGATCTTTCCAAAATCCTAAATAGAAAAGCTTTCGTTGTACTTGAGGGTCCCCTAAAGCCCAGGAAAGCTGTTGAAGGTCTCTGATTCCCTATAGAATTTCCATAAAACAATTTCTGAGAGCCACTGTATTTTCTCTTTATTTGCCAGGAAAATGAAATGTCACTTATTTGTCCAGAAAGTACAGATGACCTAGTAGCTTCTCACTTCATGCCGATGTACTCTTTTGCATTCTCTTAATTTTGATAGACATTCTCAACCTTACATATTGAGAAGGGGATAACTGGGGATAGAAGGGACTCGAAATCACACCATTTAAGGAATGGAGTAGTGGAGGCAGGATGAAATGAACAGCTTTCCAGGCCAAATCCCAGTTTCTAGCAGGCTATAGCTTCAGCACTATTGATACAGCATTTCCCCAGTGGTTTGCTGATAAAAGTTCAACAACTGCCTCTGCAGGGGGGAAAAAAAACACCAAAATGCTGATTTGAAGCAGTCATCTATTTCCATGGTATAAACACTTCCCATGGCTAATTTCAAGCTACCAAGGTGATGTCACTGAGTGTGGAGGTGGGGAGAGATGCTGAGTAGCACACCATTATCTAGTATTTCCTCCACATGGCTCAAATAGGAATAATCTCAAGAGATGAGGTGATAGTAAGATAAAGTAAAACAATTAGGCAGTGATGATTTTGGGGTATTTGTTACCTTTCCCTTTAACACAGTTTATGAATGAGGGGTGATACCTCAGAGCCTAGTCAGGGAGACGGCATCAAGCGGGAGCAGGGCTGTCGTGCAGTTTTGGTGGCAGGACTGCTTCTGCCAGGACAGGTGACAGTGGTCAGAGAAGGCGCTCCAGAGGTGGAGGTATTTGAAATACATCTTGAAGAACCTGCTGGAATTAGCCAGATAAAGAAGGGAGGCGAGATCATCCGAAGCAGAAGGGACAACATGGAGGCATGAAACCAAGGGCAACATCCTGATCTGTGAGGAGCTGTCTGCGGTGGAGCATGGGAGGGTTCCAGGAAGGGACCAGGCTGCTGAGGAGGGGTCAGAGCCATCCTGGAAGGCCCTGGCTCATGTAGGAGAGCGTAGGCTCTTCCCTTTAGGCAGGGGGAGCCATCAGAGAGTTTAAAGATAGCGTGATGTGATCAGAAATAAGTGTTTAGAAAGATCACCCTGGAGGCTTATGGTGAAGGAGATTGGAGACCTGGCTCCATGCCTCCAACCCTCTCTCCGTGGCTCCCTCCTGAGTACCAGCAGCTGGATGAGTTTTCACTCGCCTAAAAGCCCTATAAGCACCAGTGGGTCCTCAAGGCCAGGCTACAGAATGGTGCCAGCCTAGCAGCCTCAGAATCTCCCATAAAGTTGCTAAAAATACAGATTCATAGGCCCCACTCCCTAGCTATTTGACAGTACATTTGGGGTAAGGCCAGGAATATGTTTTATATATTTTAAGTATGATTCCCATCTGATGTTGATGCTCAGGCAGGACAGGGCTGAGATTTGGTGAGGGGGCTAGCAAACCTGGGTGATACTGCCCAGAGCAAAATGAAATCCAATTAAATACCCTCCATGTTTCCGTGAACAGACAGCTCTCCTAGGAAGTAGAGATGGAGGTAATCCTGTGTCAAACAGGTGGTTCAGATAGACGTAGGAAAGGAGGCCTGATGTTGTGGGGAGAACATGAAATTTCGAGTCCCATGGGTCCTGTGTCAGTCAGTATAGCATGACTAAGCCAGACACCCTCCTGGACCTCAGTTTTCTCATCTGGAAAATGGGAGGGCTGGCAGCATGGGGGCAGGAGGACACATAGGCGTCTGCCAGTCCTCAAATGCGGTTTTGTAACCCTTGGTGTCCCCTGTGTTGCAGGCTACGAGTCCAGGGCATGCAGCGACTCTGAGGAATCTTCTGAAATGGACTGCGTGCTGGAACCTCTCACTGACCGACGCCTGCCAAAGCTGTGCCCCTGCAGACCGCTCCTAAAAGAGGAGCAGCCTCCCAGGGACAGCCCCACGCCCGAGGTAGCCAGGAGAGGCCCGAGCACCTGCGGGACCAGCAGCATGACAGACAGTGCTGAGTCCGAAGCGTCCGACTCGGCTAACACCGAGAGCCGAGGCTGTCGGACCAGCGGCTCCAGCGAGTCCATGGATGCCCTGGAAGAGGATGACTTGGACGCCTGCTCTTCCAGCACGTCCGGCTTCTTCCACTTTGGCTCGCCAGGCTTCCCAGAGGGGCTTGATTCTGACAGCCAAGAGAAGAGGAGCAGGATCGAAACCAGCGGCTTTCTCTGTCTCTTGGACCTGGCCCAGAAAGCCAGCCCTCAGTGCCAGAAGATGGAGCTTTCTGAGAGTCCCGCTCCTGGCACATTCAGCTGGGGACCAGAACCGAGTGCTGCCAGACTGGACCCCCGGCTGTATGAGGGCAGCCGGACTGACTACTATAGCCTGTGCTCCAGTGTTTCCCCAGCCAGCCACCTGAGTGACAGCTCAGAGAGCATGGCTTCCCGGCAGGGTGGGGGCCCGCCAGGCGGGGGCCAGCAGGGTTGGATTGAGGCCCAGCCCAGCTCCACGCCGGAGGCCCTGGCCCCTGCTTGTGAGGATGGCAGCTCGGATGAGGAATACTATGATGCAGCTGACAAGCTCACACCCCCAGACATCCTCTCAGGTGAGCCCTCCTCAGCAGGTCTGCAGATTCAGCAGGCAGCTCCTGAGTACCCACTGGGGGCAGGGACCAAATTTGAGGGGGAAACACTTGAGTAAAGTAATGTCATGGTCATCTTTTGAGGAGGCTGCCCTGGGCTCAGTGGACTCAATTACAGGCACCATCACTTCAGGTCAGGTGTACAAGGGAGGTTCAGAGAACTGTGGGCAAGCAGAGATGTGAGGCATTCATTCAACAGTGGAAATCAGGAAGGCTTCCCAGAAGAGGTGGCAAATGGGCCGAGCCTTGTGAGGTAGACAGAATTTACATAGGAAGAAAAGGGATTGACGGGAGTGCCAGCAGAGGGAAGCAGCTGTGTCATTCTTGACTCTGAAACTCCATTAAATGAGGTCTTGAAACAAGATGAACCTACCTGACAGGGCACTGGTGGGCCCTTAAGGGACATAAGAAGGCAGGAGAGATTTGTTGGTCATGCTCTTCTCAGGTTCCTCATTTCTCCCTCCACACAGAGTGTGGGAATCTTTCCACACGGAATGACTTCCCAGCTGACCTGAGATCCTCGCAGGACATGGAGAGAGGGGGGTAGGAGAGGGGAGGGGGAGGGAGAGGCTGCATGCTGCAGATAAAAAATTGGGAAATAGCACACAGACATTGAGGGTGACCTACGAGGAGCTGGGGAAGCTACAGCCCTTGTATTTCTGTTTCAGACCCTTCCTGTTGCTCTCTGCCCTCCAGTGGTTTCCCATGGCTCATGGAAGAAAAGCCAGCTGCTTAGCAGCCCTGGGAGGCTCTTTGAGGCCGTCTGTGGCGTGGCCTCTGCCTGTGTCTCTTCTTCTCCTGAGCCCTCTTTCTGCATTCCTGCCCAACAGACCTCCTTGCTGGTCTTTAAAAGTTCTTTAGCTCTTCCCACCCCGGCTTTTGCACATGCAGCTCTTTCTGCCTGAAACACCCCCTCACACTGATCTTTGGCTGCTGATACCTATCCATCTATCAGGTCCCACCTGGAAATTCACTTTTTCCAGAAATTTTAACCAAACCACCAAGACGAGGGCAGACCTCCCACCCCTGTTACCTGTTCCTACAGCACCCTGGGTGCTTTCTGCCTGGCACTTAGCACTGCCTGTCATTATTTATATATTTGTGTGATTTTGTGTTGCTGTTTCTCTCTCTCACTAGATGGAGAGCATAGGCGTTGTACATTTCTCACTCATCTCTTTGTGACCAGCACATAGTGCCTGACAGTTGTTGCTAAGTGGATGAAGGAGCTCTGCACCATCTACCCTGAGTGCATTAACTGGTTGTGGCCCTAGGGAAAGGAGAAACCCATGGCTAGATTGTGCACTGTTCCCCAAAGAACCCAGCCAACTGCCGTCCACGCCCCGAGCCTTGCCCTGTTGGGCCAGCCATTGTGCTGGGGGCATGATGGGAGCACGACAGACCATCAGTCAAGGCCTTTCTCTAGACAAGGACATAAGTCCATACTAGACACTCCCTTTCTTAGAGAGAGTCAGTGTGTTCCTGGGGAGACAGCCCAGAACTGGGACTCCTGGCCCCTGACTCTGTGGGAGCCCCTTTTAGGCCTCTGTGGCTGTAGGTAGCCTAAGGCAGCAGCTCCAAAACGTGACTGGCCATCAAAGTCACCCAAGGGACCTGGTTTAAATACTATAGAGTCTTAGGTCCCAGCCTCAGCGACTCTGATTTGAGGTCTGAGGAGCAGCCTGAGATTTGATAAGGGGTTTAACCAAGTGCCGCCAGGTTGGAAACAACTGGTGCGAGCCCTCTGATTCTCAGGTGCCTGGCAGTGATCCTCACTCCTTCGGGCTGATTCCGAGGACTTCTTCACAGAAGTGCTTCTCTGCTCAAAGAGATCCACCCTGGTGCGCACGAAACCCTGCACACCTGCAACTAAGAGTCGTGGCCACTTTTTGTCAAAAGAAAGCTCCTTCAGAGCCCTCCCACATGTAACGACAATAATAGCAGCAGCAGCAGTTCCCCTCAAAGTGAGCACCTGCGGGCCTTGTGCTAGGTGCCTGATAGGCATGAACGCACTTAACCTACATGGCAGTGTTGTTTGGTACGATGGGTATGGATTGACTTGGGTTAACGTAGCACAGCATGAAGAAAAAGTGTTAAAGGACATAAGATAGTTTAGAGAATTGCCAGCAAAGGTGAAGAACTGCTTCGGACACAGGCAGCAACCAGGCCAGGAGGCTGGGTTGTGAGAGTCCTGGTCGCATTGTCAGAATACTGTGGCTGTAAAGAATGCGCTCTACTTTTATTATTATTATTATTATTATTATTATTATTATTATTATTATTATTATTATTTTAAATCAATGTGTTTTGAGTTTGAAATTCTAGGAAATACGTGACTGACTTTCTGGGTTGTAAATCTGATCACTTGACAGGGCACCTTCACTGATAGTTCCAGCAGACTGTAATCAGTGGGGAGATGTCATTCCCTAAAAGGAAGTTGTGGTGACCAAAAGACAATGAAATGGATCTTGGGCAACCAAGAATCAAAAAATGTGTACCACAGTTATTAGCCCCATCTTTCAGATAAGGAAATTGAGATCACAATTTAACTTGCCCAGGGTTACACAGCCCAGCCAGGATTTGTAAGCCTCTTGGTTTTTCTGCTTTTTATGTATGTTTTCCTCTTTTGACTCTCAGAGCCCAGAGCCATTTCTGCTGCAGAACCCAGTGCCACAAGCTTGCAGAGTGAGGCTAGCACTTGCAGCCCCGAGGACAGCCTGAATTCTGGACCAGATGGACGAGAGACAGGCAGAAGGGGAGGGGTGAAGAAGTATGCCAAGACCCTGAGAAAAAGAAGGTCTTTCCTACAGACCGACTACACCTGTCAGGTCTCATTTCCCCTGGTGCCCTCAGCCTCCCTAGAGAGCATGGACGACGTGTGCTACTACGACAGGGAGCCCTACCTGGCCCTTGGTGCACCTTCCCCAACTGTGTCCTCTCTGCAGGACATGCAAGGTGAGCCAGGCCTCCTGGAGACCAAGGCCCTGGGGCTGCTGGCTCCCCTGAGGGAGGCCAAGAGCAAAAACCCAGCCTCCCGGGTGATGGAGATGGAGCCTGAGACCATGGAAACCAAATCTGTCATTGACTCCCGAGTGTCCTCTATTTCTGCTATCCGCCTCCGGATGGACCCCAATCATAAAGAGAATTCTGGGGGTGCCCCTGAGACTGCCACTGTTGCCAGTTGCTCAGCAAGTGCCCCTGACTGTTCCAACCCAAGTTCATCTGGCTCAGATACTGCTCAGATAGGGCCTTCCCAAACCATACCTCCATTTCAAGACTCGGATGGCAGTGCCCCCGAAGAACTCTCCATAGAGCTTGGGGACAGCACCTCTTCCCTCTCCAGTGCTGACCCGAACCCAGACAGAGTCTACTTGACCATCAGCCTGGGGCCACATGTCTCTCAAGGCGACACACTAGAGCAGGGAGGAGTCCAGCTGGAAACAGGATTAGGATCTTTGTTTACAAATCATATGCAAGAAACTGCCCCCCAATACACAGAGCCTTTGTTGTCTCCTGGAGACAGGCCTAGAAGTGGTGAATGTGAAATAAATTCAGGAGAGAAGATGGCTTCTTTCCCTCCAAAGGAGGAGCCACAAGGACAGCTTTCTTTGGAACATGATCGAGAAGTGACAAACAAAACGGGCACCAATGTATTTCCTGATGAATCTGGGAAGGACTCAGGCAACCCTAAGGGTCACGTGTCGGATGCTATTCCACAGACTATTGGTGTCATTGCTCCAGATGGTGGAATAATAGCCTCCCTCTCCTTGGAGACTCCTGTAACAGGGACTGAACTGACCCCACCACACTCCCGCACGGACCCCAAAGGACAAAGCAGAGAAACCGCAGGCCAAGCCTGCCAGGCCCAAGGACAAAAACTATTGGCAGAGCTGGATTTAGACCCTGATTTCCTCCTTGAGAACCAGACCATTCCATCAGCCTTCCCTCTAGAGGGGGTCAAAGCAGAGCCCCTTAACCATGTGATAGGGGAAGACACAGTCTCCAGGGATACTCCTCAGCAGGTCTGTTTTAACCCAGGTCTTCCTGTGCTAAAACCACTACCATGTCCCCAAGAGGATCCCCATTTAGAAGTTTCAAACCATCGTTCACTGTCAGAAAGCAAAGATAAAAGTCCTAGCATCTGCCTTTCTGCTGAGAAGTCTTTCTTGTGCTTTGCCCCAGAAAGCCATCCTAACGTTTCTGCCAGTCTCAGGATGGCCACATCTTTGGGGTTTGCTGGGGTGAATGAGACAGTGGCCCCTAGGATTGGGATGGAGCAGTGCAGCTGCCAGTTCTCCTATGCCACATGCTTCCGCAGCCTGCAGCCTGAGACAGAGGAAGAAGACAGGGACTCAGAAGCACACCCCACAGCCCCCCTCACCTCACCGCCCTCTGCGGGAAGCCAGCTGGCCCTGCCCTGGAGGCCTGCCAGGGCCCACAGCTGCAGCGCCGAGCCCCTGTCGAGGAACAGCCACATCTGGCCAGAGTACTGCTCCAGGGCTCTGAGACAGCTGAAAGCTGCCCCCGCCAGTACCCCCGAGGGCTTCATCCGACTCACAGAGAGCTTGCTGGAATTACAAGACATTTTAGAAGCTTCCTGGGGGAATGGGAACAAACATCCTCCAGAGAAGTGCACTTGGCACTTTTCTGAAAGCCGGAGCCACCTCTGCATGGGCTCCCAGAAGCTCCTACTGAGCTGTCAGCATGTGATCAGAATGGACCAGTCCCCAGAAGAGATGCAGGGGGCTGTGCATGACACCTTCCAGCACCTGGTCCAGCTGGCTGGCCTGTGCTTCCAGTTCACGGACTGCAGCCGCTGCTCTGCCCGCCACAGGGAAGCAGCAGGGAACCTGAGGGACGTGGTGTACACCTACCACCGGTTTGTGGAGGCTGCCAAGCTGACCTGCGAGAGAGGCTACCACGACCTGAGTGTGAAACTCTTGGCCCGTCAGTGCACGGCCCTGACGGCCGCCGTGTTCGGTTTGACACAGAAGTTTCGGGCATCCACTGCCCTGTGAGCAGGCCGCCTGCCCAGGCCCCCTGTCTTGTCCTGGACACTTCCCTGAGATGCCCTTTCCATCCTTCCACCCACCCCTCTCAAATGTTTACTATTTAGAGTATTCAAATAAACTGCTGCTTACTCTTGGCCTGAATCATGCAAAGTGATGATAGGTTTGGGTCAAAACAGTCACTCATATTCATTCCACATTCGCTCATTGAATACCTCCTCTGGGCCAGGCCATTTGCTAGGAGCCTAGGATATAAAGAATAATAGATAAGTCCCTCCCTGGTCAGGATGCTCACAGACCCTCTGGGGATACAGATAAGTAGATTACCATCAATAAAGTGTGTACCCTAAAAGGAGCATAACCTGGGGGGTAGGGGGGTGGGGGTGGCAGCAAGAAGTCACAAACTGTCCCAAGAAGGCAGAGGTGAGGGAGGAAGGTGGGGGTCATTGAAAAACATAATCTCTTACCACACTGATTTGGCAATAACCTTTGCAACTAGAAGTGACTATATGTGATATTTGATATTATAGATTCTACCTTCATAAGTTCTGGTTTTCAACACCTGTACCAGGGGTCCTGGTACTCTTGGCTGACTTGCTGTGACAAGCACAGGTTACCACTGGGTGACAGTAAGTTCCTTAGCTTCATGGCCACACTCATGCTGGTGTGCACCGTGCTTTATCTGAAATTTACTGCACCCCTCAATCTCATACCCTATTTTTGTTTTAAATTACTAAAAAGGCAAATATTAAAGCCTTGAATTAGATTTGCCTTTTAAAGACTAACATTAGAGCAAAATAAATATATTCATTTTTACCTTTCTTTTTAATCCCAGCTGAGCCAGTTAATCCCAGTTAACCTTGGTGGGACCTTGGACAAACTACTTAACCTCTCAGTGCTTTGGTTTTCTCTTCTGTAAATTGGGGATACTAATAGTACCTGCTTTGTAGGGTAGAAATCTAATAAATACTCAATCTAGTAAATACTCAGTAATAACCCCCCAACTTTTATGGATGCCTCTGCTAGTCTGAAATCCTTCCCTGCATTTTGTTTTCAGACTCCAGGAAAACTGATTTCAAGATACCCGTGTGATACTTTTTTATCCTAGCTTCTCTGTCCAGGCCAAAGGTGGTTTAGACACTCACCTTGGGCTATGAGTTCATTCAAGGGGTCCTCTTGCCTCTCTGGTGCTCCTGATCAATTGTGAGCTCAGTTCTGCCTCTGCAGTTCCTCTCCTCTAGGGTTCCCCAGTTCCTCTCCTTCATCCAGCAAAAGCAGGAACAGAGATGAAGGTATTCAGTCACCTACCCAAGCTCTAGCCAATCAGAAGGCATGCAATACTTTGGGAGAAAAGACATCGTTCCCAACCTCTGTTACTAGTTACTTGTTAACTAGTAACCAGTTAACCAGTACTTGTGCCAGTAAAAGATTTATTTTCTTAGAGGCCTGTTTCTTTTCCACAGAATACTTTGAATAAAATTTAAATAAGGTTCTTGAACACAGATTTGAAGTGATTTCATGGCAATGAAAAATAGAACCAATAGGACACCGAAATAATAAAAATTGTATGATGTTAAAAAGAACTTGAGTGCCTTTCCCACCAGAAAAGCTATGAAGAGCTATATAATATTTATGTGAACATTGTCCATATGTTCACAAATTCAGGGTAGGAACTCAGGATTTCAACTCAATCAGGACTTGAATCCTGGCAGTGTTGTTATAGGCCCTTCTCTGAGCCTTAGGTTCCCCATCTGACAAAAGAAAATAGTAATCTTCATTTATGAGGACCTACAATGTACCAGGTGCCTTGAATACATTTTGTTATCAACAATGCTAAAGTGGAGATTTTTATATAATATACACTCAGCATTATTGAGAGAAATAATTATGGAAGGCAGTGAAGCCTCCAGCTTAAGCACTCAAATGTTGGTTTCCTTCTTTCTTTGCTTCCTCTCCCCTCAAATCCAGAACTTTCTAAGGTTGCTACAGTATGGCGCTGGTATTTTCCTCTGCAGTTCTCACGGGGAGTACTAAGTCCCAGAAGCTCTGGGAAACTCCTTATTTCTTGTTGAGACGCTAAAGTGCAGGGGGCATTGTCCTGTGTAGCACTTTCTTGGAGATACACAGCCCCCTACATGAGATAGGCAAGGTGGGACTGCCTACTCCACAATGCAAGTGTCAACTGTTTCATGATGCTGGACATTTACATTCCTCCTTCCTTTTCCCACCCACCATCATATTGGCTGATTCATTTCTTAAAACAAACATTTATGATACATCCATGCCAGGTGATGCCTGATACAGGATTATGGATGTAAATAATTGGGTGAGAATCCTGTCTTCAAGTGCTCTTGGTCCAAGAGATAAGATGACATGTGGAGATAGAGACTTACAACATCAGGCATGGTGTGCTCAGGGCCACCAAAGAACAGTTAAAATGTATGAGAGCTCAAAGGAAAGAAGTCACTGTTGGGTGAGGGCAGAGTAGTGACCATGGAAGACTTCCTGTGGGAGGCAGCATTAATTAGAACTATTTGTCAGAAGTATTTTTGAGTAGCTATTGTGTGTCAGGCTCTGGATTTGACAGATGAGAAGGTAAGTTTTGGAAGTGTCAAGAAAGGAGAAAAATACTCATTTGTTTATTCTGTCAAGAAATATTTACTGTGTAGTGGCACTGGGAATACAATCAACATGATAGATGTAGTCCCCTCAGGAAAAAAAATAAATAACTGATTGATGGGTAACATAAAGAAAATGAAGCATACCAAGATGGGGGTGGGATGAGCCAGTCTTACTTCTGGTGATCAGTAAAGGCCTCTCTGAAGAAAGAATGTTTAAGCTGAAGTCTAAAGGATGAGGAGGAGCCAGCCATGGAAAAAGAGGAAAGGGAACAGTATTTTATCTGCAAAGGCTTTTGGTGTGTTGGAAGCATTTGAAGAAGACAAGTGACTGGAACACAGCAAGCTGGAGGAAGAGTGATAGATGATGAGGTTGGAGGGGCAGCCGGGAACCAGGCTATGCAAGGCCTTGGGAAGGTTAGATTTTACATCCCAGTTTGATGGGAAGCCACTGAGGGGTTTGCAGTAGGGAAGACACGATAATCATCTGGCAAATGGATGGGGGCTGGGTGGGGCTGGGGGAGCAGGCAGTGACACCAGCTAGGAGGACTTTGCCATGGAGAAGTACCCCTGAGCTCATTCAAAAGTGAAGAAACACAAGAACAGTGGCAGACAGGGATGAAAGGTATCCAGTACCACTGAGTGCAAGGTGCAGGGACTGGCAGGTATGGTGGGAGCCACTGAAGACTGTTTGAGTCACTTTGCAAGCCCTGCTGAAGGGGAAGCCAGGACCAGCTTTTGAGCACAGACAAGACGTTAGAGCTAGGTTTTAGAAAAAGCCTTCTGGGGGGGAAAATGCTTAGTTTTAGCATTTGAAAATAACTCCAGTGGCAAATAAAGAATCCACTGGAGCATGGCTTGGGGACTGGGTAGGAGGTGCTGAAGGAGCTGTGGAAAGAAAGTCCAGAGAGGGAAACTAGGGGGCCAAGGAGGGGTCCAACAGGCTGTGGTTTCTTGGGTGGGAGATATTTCAGGCTCGTTCTGGTAGGGTCTCTCTGCAAGGGTGAGACTCCTAGGACTGCAGCAATGAAAGGAAGAATGACTGATAGTTTTGATCAAGACAAGGCTTGGGCAAGTCGCTTCAGATCCCTGAGCCTCAGTTTCCCCATGGATATGTGAGGAGAGATAGAGAAGGGCAAGGGGCAAGAGGCTAGACTCACTCTTTGCCTGCGCGAGCCCGGACAGCTCTACTGTGAGCCTGGACAGCCAGGTACGGTGAAGGGGAATGTGTGCTCAGGTAAGGGCTGTGTCAGCTCGTGGGCCCTGCTGGTTGTGGGGAAGCCCAGGGGAGGGCAGACTGCGAGATGAGGGCTGGTTCAAGTCTGGCTTCAGCCCAGGTTCACAATGTCCAATCCTTGACAGCCATCAAAGCTGGCTGGTCACCTGAACAGCCCCTGTGGGGTCGGCAAGTGGCTGGGATTATAATCCTCACCTAACTGGGAAATAGGCTCCGAGAGGCGCGGCAACACTTCGGGCGGGACGCAGCACCCTGGTGCCAGGTGGGGCTTGGAAGCCCAAGCCTCCGCTCTGGCCCCGCCCCCGCACACCGAGCAGCGGGGCGGAAACCTACAATACCCAGAATGCCTTTCGGAGAGGGGCAGGAATCGGAAGTGAGGCCGGAGGCGGGGTCTGGTGTGCGCCGCCGCTGCCGGAGGTGACGGGATCAGGTATTCCCGGGGCTCGCTCGGGGGCGGGGTAGAGGCCAGGGGCTCTAGGCCGGCCCTGCGGCCGCATTCGCAGGTGGAGAGCGCGTTTAAGTGTGGCCTGTGTCCCACACCATTTTGGTGCTTTCCCTTCCTGCCTCCCCTCGCACTCGCACTCGCAGCCTGTGCGCCAGGCGGGGCCCACAGGCGGGGTCCTTCCAGCCTGGGTTCCAGGCTTTCTAGCGCTGAAGGTGCCTGAGGCGTGGAACCAGCTTCGGGGGACCAAAATTTAGAATGAGGAAATGAGAGAAGCGCGCAGAGACTGATCCATCACATAGCGTCTAGGGATCTGCTCATCTGGTGGGACTTGGGTTAGAAAACTCAGAAATGGGGGTAGGTGGGGGATTTATTAATGAAGCAAGTATTGAGCATTTATTATGTACCAAGTCCTTTTCTAGGCGTAGAGGACATAGTGAACAAAGCAAACAGAACACACGATATAGGAATGGGGAAGTTCCAACAACAACAAAATAAGTAAAATGTGTGCCATGTTGGGTAGCAAAAATCTGAATGAAGTGAAAAAGGTAATCATGTAATTATCTAGGGCAGGGGTTGGCAAACTTTTGAGACGGAGGAGCCGGCATTGGAGGTACAGAGAACAGCAAGGCCCCGAGGTGGGAATACCTTTGATATGTTTGAGGAACACCAAGTGGACCAGACAGTGCAGAGGACAATAGAAGGCGGAGGTGGACCTTAATGATCAGTGTTGGCCATTGGAAGGATTTTTGACTATTGACTGCAAGGGAAATGGAGAATGCCGCATGGTTCTAGCAGAAGAGTGACATGACTATCAATCATTTAAGAAGCTTTTATTCTGCGAGGCTCAGTACTGAGTACTGGGGTTTGCACGTGAATTCTTTATCCTGTGTTCTCTGGAAGGGTTTGTAATCTGGTGGGCAAACAGGCAGACCAGCTATCATGCAAGGCTGAGTCAGATCATTGCAGCCCCATGAAGACAGAGTGAACTGTCATCCCCAAATCCTTGGCATGTGCTGTTAAGTCAGGTGTTTGGTAACTGATAATGATTAAGTAATTGAGGAGCTCCTAGACCCGTAATGGAGCCTCAGAAAACATTTTTTTCAATGAAGAAATGAAATGCTAAATCTGGGCATATATATATATATATATATATATATATATATATATATATATATATATATATATATATATATATATATATATATATATATATATATATGATGTCACACAGATTGATAGATTAGTGCTTCTTTGATGCCCAGCTTCACCTTTGCTTTCTAAGCATCACTAGGTGGCAAGCTCCGAATTAGTATTCACTGAGTTTCCATTCTGTGCTAGCCACTAAAGGTACAAAGGTGATAAAGAGGCGGTCCCTGTCCTCATGAGTGCCTGATCTGCTCTCTTATAGACTCTCCTGGTAGTGGTTGGAGTTGCCTTCATTTGCTTTTCAAGATCTCTGTATCCCAAGTTCCTGATCTGAAAAACATTCTCAGGGACTATAGGAATTTGGAAAGGTGAGAGATCCAAAGAGTAGAATTCGAAGGAAGGGAATCGGGGTGGTGGTGGTAAACTTCAGTTAATTCAACATACAGTTATTCAAACACTATAATTTGCAAGGTTCTATGAGCTGTTCTGTGTTTAGGTAAATGTAGGTACACGGTCCCTCCTGTAAAGGAATTCAGTTCAGTAGGAGAGAAAAGATGAGCACTGACCTCCCAATTTTTTCAACAGCAATGGAAAACTCTGCAGCCCCTCTTGGTACTCCAACTTCTCAGCCTGATTTCTCCAATGAAACATCTACATTCATTGCCCTCCAGTCATTCCCCAAAAGGGCCTGGCACAGAAGAGGAGCTCAATGAATATTTATTGACTGAATGAATGGACAAACACAAAAGGATAAAAAAGAATAAAAAATGCTATAGAGTTCAGAGGAGGAAGAGATCACATTGGCTGTTAACAAACTAGCATTCATTTAACAAATTTATATTTGTTTCCCCTAATAAAATGAGGTTGTTAGGTGTTGGACCAGTTTACCTTAAAGTTTTCATTTGTTCTTTTTTGAATGTCTAAATGCAGATGACACTGATGGTTGGCATAACAAAGTTCAGTCATCTAAAGGAACTATCATAACAGGTCTGGATATCTTTTGTTAAAAACGATATTCATATTCAACATCGCTGTTCGTATGTGAACAGTGCAACACTTTTCAAATGTTTAAGAATAACTTGGTATTTTCCTCATTTGTCTAGAAATGTTATGTACACTATTAAATTTTGTGTATGCCATACACTCATAGTGCCACAGACAGTGGTATAAATAAATATGTTAAAATTTGTACTGACTATTAAAGGAAGGATTTCTAAGTAAAAGTAAACTAGCCTAGGCAAGAAAATGAACACAAATTTCAAATCTTAAAATCTTTGCATTTTACTGTAAGTAAATNAATTATGAGTTCAGTAGTGCTGTTACAGTTTGGTGTGGTTCATGCATGGCTGAATGGAGATATAATTATGGATGAGGGAAGACTTAAGAGTATAATGCCAAGGAAATCTGTAGGCTTTGAAGAAAGCCTACAGAGTGTGTGAGGCTCTCAGCTCTCAAAATCCTGGATAGAGAGGCAAAGCATATAGGTAGGGATGTCAATGAGGAGATACTTGACTAGCTCCAGTCAAGAGGTACCTAGGCCTGAATTTACAAAATGGAGATGAAGAGGTGGACTTAGTGATAGAATCAAATAGGATCAAGCAACAAAAGACACATGTAAGGAGAGAAGGGGCAAAGAAACCAAAATTCTGGCTTGGATATATAGGAAGTGTGGCTATTCTACCTGAAAAGCCCAAACAGAAAACTTGAGGAAACACGACCACTCCTCTGTCAACTCCAGGAAGAAATTCTTGGGAAACAGTGATGTGACTGAAATTGTGAGATGACAGTCCCAGGACCTACGATCAGGATGGATGGATGGCGGAGAAGGCAATTTGCACCACTTAGCCCTCCTTCATTCCTAAGCCCCAGGCTTGCTTACTTCTTTATCCACTGAATATGGACAAAACAGATAACAACAGAGAGAACAGATATAACCTTTCAACTCAGAGATGAAACAACACCCAATATAGCAAATGTAACATAAGTATGTGGCTCTGGCCCCAGAGCTGGAGCATGGGAAGGAACTCTTAGAGGTAGGAACTCACAGATGCTCAACGATCATCCTATACAACTGGGAACAAAGGTCATGCTTTGGAGACAATTCAGGTTGCCTTCTAGCTATGTGAATGCTTTTCTTCTTTTGAAACCAAAGGTTCCCATCATTACCTGCACATTTGGTCTGTTTCTTTTCGTTGCACCTTCAAATGCCAAGTAAGACAAAGAAGCTGGCTCACTCCCTCCAACATCAACTTTGAATATATCTCCAGATTTAGCTGTCACTATGCCAATCACATGGTCTCCTTTCACTGGGACATACTACAAAAAAAGTCAGAATGAGAGAACAACCATAAATGACAATCATTTTCAAGGTACCTTGGAAGATATCTTCAGCAAATCCTTAGTGGTTACTTTATTATGCTTGTCATTAGAGATATTTAGAAAATATTTCAAAATTCTAGTTTACAAATTAATACAAATCTTACAACAAACTGGACNATTCCCCAATAAAAAATCTTTAAAAAAATAAAAATAAAATAAAAATATTTAACTGTGATTTACAGAAGGTGACGTTTCAAAAGGCCCGAGAACATTCTGTCAAGACAGCCCGCTTGCCGATCCAGGAATACATGATCAGACGCAAGAATGGGAAAAACTATCATTCAGAGATATTGGCCATCAATCAAGGTACTGCTCACATGTCCCGTGCTTAACTTAATGTTAGTTCTGGTGCTGCTTCTTTGAATCGTGTTTAAGTGTGAATGGCCCTTGAAGCAATCTCCCCTCACTGATGTGCTTGGACTTTATCACATGCACTTTATGGCATGTATTCTGGCCTCTCAAGAGGCATTTCTTATTTTCTTCCTTATCCCCAACATTGTTATAGTTGAAATTGTTGCCTTGGCCTAGAATACTCTGCCTTTAACACATCCTTGAGCAGAGAATTCCTATTTGTTCTTCAGGATTCAGTTCACAGTCATCTTGGCTGCTCCCGTCCCCCTCCCAGGCCATGTGGGCCCCTCCTTTGTGTTCCCACTGTAGTGTTCCTCTGTTGCAGCACTGCACTGTCCATTCACAGGCCTGTATTTCTCAGTGTAGGCTGAGGTCCTTGTGAGCAAGCAGGGCCTGTATCTTTGCCTGTTTCCCCAGGATCTAGTACCATGTGTGGTACAGAGTAGGTTTGTTGAATGAAATATCCCAGAATACTTTCTTCTTAGTCATGTACTAGTTTTTTTCCAGTGTGGTCACTGTGTTTTCTGTTTACCCTTCTAACAGTATTTGATATCCTGTCCACTTACTATGAGACTCAAAACTGGCCTGAAGCACTGAAGAAAGGAGTTTCTTCCAGAAAAGGCTTTGTTCTTCAGAACTCAGTGGAATAATGGGCAGCCCGATTGCAGCTGGAGGCGGCAAAGTTGCTGGAGGGGCCTTGACCAAAGAGCAGAGCAAACAGTGGCGATGGCACATATTCGCCTTTCCTTGCCATCTTGGATCTTCACTAGAATATCGGTTAATAATAAGAGGGACCACATTTTATGTATGCTTTTTTATCTCCCATAGTGCCTAGCTCACAGGAAGTGCCCAGATATATGTTAACTAAGTTAAAAAGTTTACATAACAAGGAATTAGCCCTTAAACTACATGGCTTTGGATGTGTTCATTCATTTTTCTATACATCTATTTGTGGAAAAACCTCTTTAGAGATAGGTTAAGTAATTATTGCTATATCCAGAGTTGTTCACTAAACTGGTATCATAAAGTTGTCTGATTTTCTCCTGCCTCCTTTGATCATGATTTCCCCCAGCTCAGTAATATGCTGTACATGTGCTTTGCAAGATCAGCTTGTCCTAACCCAGCCCTGCTTTAAGCTCCCATAGCACTTTGTTCCCGCCTGTGGCTCCTACCCCGTCTCCCGTTCCGAGTATGGGCGTGGAGGGCCTCTCTCTTCCTAACTGTAGCCTTCTAACTAGATCATTTGTGGGAGTATCTTTGTATCCTTCTGAGCCTTGTGCAAACTAGATTTTTCAAACATAATTATAACAAGTCAAATTGAAAAGCAAAAAAACAGTACTGATAAGTCTAACTTGAAAATAGCCAGAAAATACACTGCATCTGATACAAGCATGTTAGAGAACCTCTTATTACACAAATCTCAGTGATCCCTTTTCTCATGTCCTTGTTAGATACAGTTGCTTCAGTTACTCTGACCAGTTTGGGTTAGTCAACTTGATAGCTAAGCTGCTAGCAAATTCAGAAATGTATTCTGTATCTCAAAAGAACCAAAAGGGTCTCTGTCCTGTCCCCTCCCCTTCACAATTTAATCCTTCAGGAGCTATGATCACTTGATAAATTATATCGGTGTCTTTTTATTACTTAAAAACAGTCCAGTCTTCAGGAACATCTTTAGGAACACATCATGTTCCTTGGTCTTGATCAACATATTGAATGAATTCTATAATGTCATCTAAAAGGGACCTATCAATAGACTTCAGGGGTCTGTAATTCTTATCATATTCTCAGGGAGACCTATGACCCCAGAACCAGTGACCTNCTTGTTGTGGGGAGATTCCCTGGTGGGAGGTCTTCCTGCAATGTATGTATTTTAGTGGTCTCCCATTCTCCCTATTGGTGAAGGAAGGATTTCTACCCTGGGATCCTAGGGGTGGCTGAACACATGACACCTGACACTGGACAGGTAAGATTGATAGTCACATGTACTCAGCCTGGGGGAGGATGACACTGCATGCTATGCAGGGCCACATGAAGTTGCACTTGGGAACAGAATGAACAGGGCCTGTGGGAGGCAGGCTTTGTAGTATCAAGAGGATGGGGTGCCACTGTTTCATGCAGGAAGATGCGATTGGTTTGTTGGAATAATTCTGTGGATTGGCAGGAAATTGAAACCCACTGCTTGGGGATAAGTAGGAACTACACCTGGCCTCTTTGATTAAAAGGATTGTTTAGCTAGGGGACCAGAATTGAGAGAGGAACTTGTAGTTAGGCCATTCAAGGCTCACCCAGTTTCACCAGATGTCAAGACAACACAGCATTGGGCCTTAATTTTTGGCCTTACACCGCAAAACAAGTGTTTCCGTTTTCTAAGACCCTGCTTGCATATGGTGGTGTTTGCAAGTTTTTCAAAGAAATTAGGAAAACTGAAGGTCTACAGTTCTTACACGGTACCTCTAACTATAGCTCTCTGAAAAGGTTACCAGGAATTTCCTACTGTTTATATTGAGATACCAGCTTAAATCAAACTCAAAGCCTTTTTTTCTCTACTGAACCAAATCAGGCCAGATTGTCAAACTACTTTTCTGTTAGGTAAAGGACTCTGAATCAGGATGGAAAGTTAAGACTTCCAATCCTATTACATCTCCTGGAGTTAGGGAGAAGGTGCCAAGTTTATCTGATGGAGTATAAAAATGTCTGCAATGTAATCTAACCTCTTTTTAATAAATCATAAACATCACATGGTAAGATTTTAGATAAGAGGTAAAAGAACAATTTCACATATCATATTATATATATAACGGCAGGTCCACAAGGAGGGAGAGGCCTCACTTTTTCTACTAATGCACTTTTTCTCGACTAGTATTACCTTACCTTTCATCTATAAGGCGTGATGCCATGGGGTGTAACACGCAATCACGTGCTTATACTCCCACAGGAAAAGGGGTCATTCTGTTCATGAGATTTTCCAGTGTAGCTATCAGTGAACTCACCAAGTAACCATTTGTTGATAATGAATGTAGAAAGAAAGGGCATGTTTCCACTCTAAGTTGTCCTTATTTCTTTGAAGGAATTAAGTAGATTGGCTGGACAGATCCGAAGGTTGTATGGTTCAAATAAAAAAGCGGACAGGCCATTTTGGATCTGCCTCGCTGGATTCACGACAGACAGTCCCCTGTATGAAGAGTGTGTGAGGATGAATGATGGATTTTCTAGTTACCTGGTAAGCCTCATGTTGCATATTATTTGAATTGTCATCTAAAAAGTAGGCTTTTTACTTTTCCATATTTTGATATTAAATATATATATAAATATATAAATTATGTTTTCACTATTACAATTAAAAAAATAATAAAACCTCTTATCCATTCTTATACTTTAAATTTTTCACCCTTCCACTGCATTGGCAAATATTACCAGTACCGAGGACTGTATTTTTTTTTTTTATTATTTTTTATTGTGAAATACACATTTTTTAGAATTAGTTTCAGCTGTACAACACAGTGCAATAATTATACTTTTTACCCCTGAGGACTGTATTTTGTATCCTGTATATTATATGCTAGACTGTATACTCCAGTCAATGCCATGACTCCTTTTTTGTTCTCAGCAATACAGAATTAGGAAACAGGACTTTTGGAGGAAGAGCTAGAATCCCTATGGAAGTGATGTGGATTTAAGATGAGTTTTAGGGAGCCGGCTGAGTGGCGTGTTGGTTAAGAGCCGGCTTGGGACGCCAGAGGGCCTCGGTTCGGATCCCACATGAGGGCCAGTGACACTGCCCTCTACAGCTAAGATGCTGAACAACAGTTCAACCTGGAGCTGGGCTGCCGTGAGTCACTGTCGACTGCGTAGGCTACAGCCCCTGCTGCAGTGGGTTGCCATGGGCTACTGTATGTAGCCAGCAGCCAGCGTGAGCGGCCAGCAGCAGCCGTGAGCAACCGTCCAGAAGCCGGCAACTGATCTGCTTTGCCCGGGAAGAGAGCAATGATGGTGCCAACTTGGGCCAGTGAAGCGACATCCTCCACAACTAGACTGAAGAACAAAAGGACAGCAACTTGTCTGTTCCCCT